CTTTGCAATCGTGAGATTGCGGGTTCAAATCCCACTGCCTGCCTGGTCGTGGGGTGAGTGTCGTTGACATTCAGCTAAGGATCGTGAGTGGTCTATGCAGCCCCCCGGTCTACTCAGCCGAATACTCGAGAAATCGGGTGTGAGGGTTAAATGAGGAGCTGCACATTGCAGCAAAGTCTCGGGCGAAGAAAGTATGGTACACACTACCTTAACCGTCACTGGCTAAAAACAAATCCTTCGGCTTCCTGTAATTGGCTGGTTGCACTTGTGTAACAATATGGCTGTTGGAATACTCCGAAGTAAAATAAGTGTCTAGATAAAAAAAAGATGTTACAAAATGTCCATTTTGGGCCTTTTTATGAACTCAAAAGTGGGCCTTTTTTCATTCCGCAGCTAAGCAAATACCTAAAGTACATTTTTGTGAAGCAAGAATCTTTAGAATTTAATAATTGGCTGAGCCATTGAAAAGTGTAACCAAATGTTACATTTTTCAATATAACTGGGCCATTTTACAATATTATTCATAGCCGATGACCTGAGACTATTTGTTATGACAATTATAATCATATCTGAAAGTTTCAAGACCATCAAGTAATTATTAATGGAGTTATTGTAAAAATGAGAAAATCGCCCATTTTGGCAGTGTAACAAAACCACCAACCAGGTTTGAACATGTCCACCACAAAAGAAAAAAGATTCATTCAATCATTACATTATACACTCACTCCACCACACATGCACACAAAACATTAAAGCAGGTTACACGCGGGTGTAACGTTCACTTTATCCGAAGGGAAAAATAATACTTTACGTAACGCGCGATTTACGTCTTGGTAGCTAAATTATTCAAGTGCTATTTGTCAGAGCGACACAAATGCGCGAGCGCTTGCGCGGCTCACCTATCCAACACTCTTGTTTACATCGTATCAGGCAATGATTCAGTTTAATTATGGTAAGGGCACAGCCTGTCAAAAACCCTTTTCGCATGATCCGTCGACACCGCCTGAAGGTGAATGCATAATAACGGATCATGAACGTACGGAATCAAACGTTAATAAGCTTGCAGCTTCCGATGAAAATGTATTCAACTTTGTGTCATGCTTGAATTGGTTTTGGACCTCTTCGCAATGCTTTTAATTTATTTATTATTGTTATTTAGTATTATGAGCTGATATGTATATATACATACGGTATCTTAAATTAAGCATATAGCGAGCATATTTAACAATTTTTAAGCAATAATGTATTGCGAGCAGCTGTAACTTAAATATCGCATAAAAATCATATAATTATAACACAAAACTAAAATTTTATTGGAATCTAGGTTAAACTCAGATAAAATTAATATCAGCCCCTTCGCCACTCTCAGCAGTCAACCAGGGCTCATAAAAGCTTAACAGCGCCTGGGTCCGTTCACCAACTGTGCTAATGTGAGTGGCGGTGTGGTAAAACCCATTTTAACAGCGTGAATATTTATCAAATATAAGCGCGCTAGCTGCTAGCATACTTGTATCATTTAATTTTTAATCAAATTTATTCGGATATATATTTATTGATTATGTATTGAATTGGTGATAAATAATAAAATTGTCTTTTCTCTCTCTTAAAAACCAGTGGCGTAACGAAGGGCCCTGCTGACCCCGCTGTGCAGGGGGGCGCCGTCTTAGGGGGGCGCCAAATCGTCGTTTGAATGTGGGACAATTTCGAAAACTTAACTAAAGTACTAGCAAAACTGGGCGTTTTGCTCTAGATACACACTTTTTTAGAGATTTTACCGGCGTATCCTCTTAAATCGCCTAATTTGTTCAATTTTAGGGAGGGGCACCAAAAGGAGAGGGGGCGCCAACAGGGCGGCGCTTTTTTCGGCAGGGGGGCGCCAACAGGCAACGTTACGCCACTGTTAAAAACGTCTCAATAATGGAAATAGTCATACAATTAAGAAATGTGGAATGTGCTAGCAAATTTCAAAGGAGTGGGACAATAATGAAGAAAGGAATCAAAAAGCAGTAGTACCAGTTTCGTTGAGGCCAGTTTGGCCTTAGCACCAAAAAGTTCGGGCCATAGCCACTTCCTACATAGTGTTTGAAACAGACATGATCAAAGTAGGTTCAAATCACGAGATTCCCAGGTGAGAATGCTGAGAGGGTGGAGCCTACAAGATTCCCTCTGAATGATCTTCAATTAAGCTCACATGTTCTGTCATACCATTCCACAGACATTCCTGAACTCATTAACAATACACTTTTCTTACCGAAAAATAAAACTTCTTAGGGACAGGAGCTTGCACCAAAAAATAACCAAAAAATAACCTACTTGTAATAGTGTGCAATATCAAACGTCACAAAAATCTGTGGTGATTTTAGAAAGCGTTATCTACAACGAAACTGATAGTTCTAGAGCATACTTTGCAGCCACTCGCCAACTAGCAGGTATCAAACGTGCTCCAACCATAAGTGTGCATGATGAAAACTCTAACTTCATAGGTACAGACACTGGAAAAGCTGCTACACTAAAGAACCACTTTGAAGAGAAGTTCACTGCAAAACATACAGTTGAGCCTATTGACACTTTCTTTGATCAACCTAGTCCTCTCGCTGACCCTATTACTGCTATTGAAGTTGAGATAGCTGCTAAAGCTTTGAAGAATGGTAGAGCCACTGGGCCTGATGATATCCCAAGTGAATTGATTAAGTATGCAAACAGAAGTGTATTTCAGAAATATGCAGACTGTATAAATACCGCATTTGAAACAAACACCACCATAACATCTATTGGAAAAGGCAACATTACTCCACTCCAAAAGCCTAAGAAACCACTTGGTCCAGCAGCAACCATCAGACCTCTCACCCTCTCAAACTGCTCCAGAAAATTACTGTCAATGATTACCCTAAAACGTATCCAAGGCAAGCTAGATCAGTACACCGGTCCTACACAAAGTGCTTACAAGAGAGGTAGAAGTTGTGGCGATATAATTTGGTCTCAACGTATGCTAACCTCAGTGGTACTTAGAAAGCATTGGAGCTACCACAGAATGAGTATAGACATGTCAAGTGCCTTTGACACCATCAGCAGAGAAACAGTACTCAATGTTCTTGAAGATGCTGGCTGTACTAGTGATGAAATTAGGATGGTACGGCTCCTACTATCAAACACAGTGTTGAAAGTAAAAGTCAATAATACTGTATCAATTGAGTTCCAAAGCACAACTGGAGCATTTCAAGGAGATGCACTATCAGGTAATCTATTTACTGTTGTTGAAGCCGCTGCACTTATTCACCTCAGATCTGTACTCTCCCAAGTATCATCAACACCTTACCCAGTGAATCATCCAATCCCTAATCCTCCTATCTCAGAAGAATTCATGCCACTCGAAACAGGATACTCTGATGATATTGACTTTAATAACACTGAACTTGCTCCACTCAAAGAAATGCTTCCTATCGCTAAAGATATATTCCAGCAGTGGGACCTTCATATCAATTCTTCCAAGACTGAATTTGTCCATTTTTATTTAGCAGATCCTAAACCCACTGTTAAACGCAAGGTGATTGTTGGAAAAGTGTATAGAGGTGATGAAGAGTGGCGCTCTAACAAAACTTTAGGATCGTTGATGTGCACTGTTAAGGATATCAAGAATCGAATATTCCTTGGTAATGTTGCCTTTAGTAAATTTCAGAAAGTTTGGATGAAGAGCAAGATTTCAGTCCAAAGGAAGATCAAAATCTACGAGGCACAAGTAGTCTCTATTCTACTCTACAACTGCAACTCCTGGGCTGCACCACTAGCTTCGTTGAATGAACTTGATATTGCTCATCGCAAACACCTCCGAAGAATCCTCAACATCAGATGGCCTACTGGGGTTATTTCTAATGAGGCACTCTATGCTCGTTGTTATGTCACTCCCTTGTCTGTGAGAGTCTCTAAGTTTCGATGGAGAATGTTAGGACATATCTTAAGAGGACAGGAAGACTCACCAGCATACACCTCTATGTTATTTGCTATAAATTCTGATATTTTTATGGAAGGGAGACGGGGTAGACCATGTTTAAACTTATTAGATGTTATTAGAAAAGACTTGACTAGTAGAAATCTTGATATTAGACTTAAGAATTTGACTGATTTCGAAGACCTTAGATTTTTAGCTTTAGATAGGGAGGAGTGGAAGAAGTTAGAAGATGGTTGATGTTTTTGTTTTCTTTTTTATGCGTTTTGATATCTATAAGGTGCCTAGGATGCTCTTTTAAAGAGATATTTCGTACTTTGAAAGATTTACTACTACTACTACTATCTACAGTTGGAGTCACAGCATTTTCAGCCCGCAAAGTTAGCAGAGTTTGTGGAATAAGCAGAATATGACTTCGACAGACTTGGTTCAAAGCATCTATTTGATAGACAGTGATTGTGGATTGTGGAAGAGTGGGTCTTGACATAATGAGTGCAGGGTAGTGTCAATGAGGCAGAAAACCATCACTTATATAAGTTGGCTGATCTGACAGACTCTGCCAAAAACTTCACGAGTCTGCCTTTTCTATCCACAATCTTTAATCTGTAGTGAACAAGAATAACCTTGACCTTCATATTGTCTGCCTGTGGCGCCTATATTAATTTATTGTTTGTGTTTCTAAACACAAACATGTACACATGTCCTCTACAAACCACTAACCATCCTACCTACCTGCCGATTTGCAGTAATTACAAGTCTTACTACAAACATGCACAGCTTATCAGTTCTATCTGAACATCAGATAGACTGATAAGGTGAACATTTAAAACTTTGCAAAAGCTAGAGTAATTCACTGCAACTATTTTAAATTCTTATTTTTCAAGAAACCTGACTCAATCCATTTATCGTTTTCTCACAATCTCATAAAAAATATCTGAAGCATAAAGAGAGTTACATTGCACTGTACTTTAACCCTTGTAAGAGGGCAGTGAAGGATAACGCTGCTACATCCAGTTCCTGCTAATTTTCACCTTTCTAAACATACCACCCATATGCCAGATGGAACAAGTATGATGTAGAAGTAAACATACTCAAACATGCCCCTGGTAAAAGGAACGAGATCCCGACTCTTCACAGGGTCCAGTCACCCTCGTCCTCCCTACATAACAGAAGTGGAGAAACTACAAGATGCTCTGGTGAGGAGTGAGCATGAGGTGCTGAAGATGAGGGAGCAGATGGAATTCCTGGCATTCCTTGTCCGGAGGGCGTGGCAGGGTGATAAGGCCGCCATGTCTGATGTTGCTTCAATTGTTGGTTGGTGAAAATATTTTTGAGTAGAACTTTATTTTAACGTTCACTTTACCGAATCATAGCTGTCAAATCGGAATATATATGTCCAGCAAAATTATCCTCAAGTTTCAACTTATCTTTTTGATCTAGACTTTTGTTTATAAAATATTATACTTGATTCGAAAATTACAATTTGTTCACAACTTTCCTTTCAGGAAAAAATAATCTTTCAGGTTGTGAAACGTCCTCCGTTCAAGAAAACCTCGCACTAATTACTGACAAGGACGAATCTGTGAGTCGCCTGTTAAATTATTTAAACTTTTAAGAATGCTTTTTTTCAAATCCAACGTCATGCATCATCACTTATGATTTCAAAGCACATTGTTTATCCCTTCAAAGGTCATTGTTTGTGCTTTAAAAATATCGGTTACTCTATCATTATTATCGGCATTCTCGTGTTGATACTTTAAAACAGTGCCCAATAATGTGACATTGTCCTTACTGAGTATGATAACAACAAACCTTACTTAAAATAAACTTAATAAACTTAATAACGTAATATACAGTGTTTATATTATTATGACACTGCACGGCGTTCATCAGAGAATTTATTAGCAGTTAACACAGAATTCGAATCCTACGCGACGGTATTATCAGGATAATTAACTCAACTCGACATTTGAGTAGCATTCCTACCTACGGTTGCCATGGTAACAGATACATGCTCAGTGCTCTTACTGTAATATGAACGTAGAGTCCTCTTTACTCACTCTAATATATCTGAGAACTAATATAATCAGTGATGAATTTGTTTGTAAATGGTCGCCCATTAAAAGACGATTATATCCAAATATTGACATGCAATCCTGGCTGATTGTAGTTACAGTGATTAGTGATATATTTTATCTAATACAGTAGATCCTTCCAGTGTCTCATAAAATTACAATTGTTCTCAAGCAACGTTGTTCTCAGCTAATTGACTGATGATATCTATCGTATTGAATGTTTTCTGCATAAAATACTGATAATATCATAATACTACTACTAGCGTAACCCCTGCCTATGGCCGGGACTTCATTATCGCAGTTGAAATGCAAAAGTATAAACCCGCCTATTATATTCTCATATTCGAAAACACACATTACATTTTCGTAGTTAAAACGGTGCGAAAGTATGAACTCGCTCTGTCCAAACACACCGCAATTTAATTCTGAGTGCCCAAATTACAAATTATTACTACGTATTTTATAGTAATACTTGATAGGCAATCTTGAAGTCCCCTGTCAAATTACCAAATTATATAGCAAATCTATTATAAGGGGGAGAGAGCGAGAGTGGGAGAGAGGGAGAGTAAGTGAGACACTTTAGTATCACATTTGGGTCACAAAATGATCAATTAAACCACTTACCACCGACCGATTTAAAAAACCTTAATCATTTGGCTTGGTCAGAGTTTTGTCGGCACTATACCGAAAAAATCAGCCCCGTAACTCTTACCGTTTTCTTGATTAAGCCGTTCGGAAATTACACGCCATCGAACGAACGAACGAACACACATCTAGAGATTATTAGTATAGACTTTAGCAGGGTAGTGTTGGTTATGTGCCTAACCTGGTGAGCACAGTGGATATCCTTGCTGTACGGCTAGTTAAACAAGGAATTGAAACTGTGGGGCTCCGTGCAGACCAACCTACCTGTGGCTAAAGCTCTAATATACAAAAACAATACATGATCTGTGACCAAATAAGATCTCTGAGATTTGACCACTAAATCATATGATTACATTTGATAACGGAAATACGACTATATCGGATAACAACCTATAATAATTAACTAATTAATTAACTAATTAACTAACTAATTAACTAACTTATTGACTAACTAACTAATTAACTAACTAATTAACTAGCTAACTAACTAACTAACTAGCTAACTAACTAACTAACTAACTAACTAACTAACTAACTAACTAACTAACTAACTAACTAACTAACTAATTAATTAAATAATTAATTAACTAATTAACTAACCCTTCCTCAGTGTGACGGTGAGCAGTGGGCTAACATGGTTGAGAGGATGTTGTGGGTGGAGAGACAGAGAGACGCAGAACAAGTCAGCACAGTCAAACTGGCGGAGCGAGAGTGCATGTTGGAGGGAGAACTAGAAAATCATTCCCCGTAAGTAACGACCAGAGGATAGTATCTCTAGTATATCTCAAGATATCATCTTCTGATCTGGTTTCTGAGTGGTAGGATTTAAGACGCTTAAAGATTTAAGATGATGATTGGCGATCCAATTTTAACAATTGCTGCTGCTTGACATGTGATTTGACAACTAATCTATTGGAAATTATTTTTGCACATCAAGATAATTTAAATGTCACGGGGGTGTCCCACTGAAGGGATTTAAACATTTCCTCATCTAATATCCATTGTCAGTTGTCAAGGTATCTGTTCGTTCTTTTGTTGAGACGATGTTTTTTCGTTAGCTCTTTGTCGATGGTTTGCTCCTAGTCTATACTCTATTTTATAAAAAGGGTCATTTATCATAGAAAACGACCGTCATACTTCCCGTTTAGAAATTCTTTGTTTCTTAAGACGACAAGATACTAATTTGACTCTTCTACTCTTAGGGTATTTTCATCGTACCTAAATAAGCCCCGAGGAAACTTCCGCCAGAAAGCTCGGGCAAAATCAGCCGCACCTTCAAGAAGCAACATACCTCAGATAAAATCAAGTACGAATTTAAATCATAAATTTTAAGCTAATTTCTCAATTATCTGAAGCTCATTACACTTTATGTTGCATTTGTACACGAAGAGAAACACACAATTAAACTTTAGTTTTACTTAATAAGAATGATGTTCACGTGTAATTATATCCTGTTTTCAGGTAACAATCTCATGAGCAAACCCCCGAGTGCCCCCCTGACCACGCCTCGCCAAAGTCCTAGTACCCGTCCCCGCTCCGCACCTGCTCCTAAGAAGTTAGCAGCCAGCAGTTCCGTCAGTGTTCATGGTAGTGAGGTTATGATAGCCCATACTCCGACCAACAGCAAGGTTTATATCGTTAATTAATTATTATTTTTCTTATCACATTTATCATCATTTACATTACATTTACAATACATTTACTCGAACAAGCCTTAGACCATGTTTACTTGCTTCCCGCTTCTTTGACTCATAAAATGTTGTCTCGTATAAGTAACTGTGTCTTGAATTATACAAGTAACGTTTTTTTTTTTTTTTTTTTTTTTTAAAGAGAGGCTGGGCCTGGTTGGCCCACGAGAGGATAGCATATGGATGCTTTGCCTACCTCTGGGGTATGGCAGTCCTGTGGGAGGATGCCAGCGGAATCAAGATGTGTAATCACGGATGATGGTAAGTGTTGTGGGGTGTGTTATAGATAAACGGTTAGGTGGTGGTTGAGTGTGGAAGAGAGGGGCGAAACAAGACGGCGTTAAAGTAGTCGCTATGTTACACCTGTCTGGTCCAACTCCTCCGGCACCACTAAGCGTTTAGTGTGGTTTGTAAAGTTGACAATGGTGGAGATGTGTTGGTTGTCGAATATGTCATTGACAGAGAGGTAGTAGTCCCGGAAATATTGACCTCTTATTTGGGCAATAGCCGGGCACTGTCCGAGAAAGTGTGAGACAGTCTCCTCTCCGTCGCCGCATTTTGGACAAGCACTTGTGTCTGATTTGTGGATGGTGTGTAGGTGTTTGTTGAGGCCACAATGTCCCGTGATGAGGTGCACTGCAGTTCTGTAATTTTGTCTGTTGTTGCTGAGTGTAGTGTTGAGATTTTTGATGATGTTGATGTTTTTATGTCCAAGTGTCAGTTTAGTGTGTCTGGGACCATTAGTAATCCATGATTCTTGATTAAGTTTTGTGACTTTGTCGTTGATCAGGCGTTTGATGTAAGATTGTGGAATTGGGCAATTCAAAGTGGATTCACTGGTTGTGCCATTTTTGGCCAGCTCGTCTGCTTTTTCATTACCCCACAATCCGATGTGTGCTGCTATCCATCTGATCTCTAAGGTGTTAGTGGATCCGAGTGTATTGAGGGTGTCGTAGCAGTCTCTAGTGGTTCTACTCCTCGTTGAAGGTGAGGATATAGCTTGAATAGAGGAGAGACTGTCTGACCATATGATGATATGTGTGTTTGTGTAAGTTGATAGATATTTACAAGCTTCGATGATGGCAGTGAGTTCAGTTTGATAAACGGTGCAATAATCAGGAAGCTTGAATGATCTTTCATCTAGTGTAGTGTTGTTGTTGTCTGTGGTGATAATATAACCAGCCCCGCTACCTGAGTCTGTGCGTGACCCGTCTGTGTAGCAGGTGATGGTTTCACTGGGGATGTTGTCGATGGTGTTTTGGAGTGAGCCTCTATATTCAATGTTGTCAGCTCCAGGAGTGGTGACCGTGAAGCGTCGTTCAAGCATCATGGTTGGTATAGATAGGTCTCTCTCTGCTTTGGGTGGTATGTTGAGGTCTACCATGAATTGTTTGTTGATAGTGGTGTGAGTTGTGATGGTACCTTTTCTGGGGGCGATAGTTTCGAGGGTTAGGCTTCCATATGCTTGAAGCCTGGCTGTGCCCTTTGCTGCTTCACCTCTCAGGAAAAGTATGATATCTGGAGCGTTAGTGAGGTGGTTCAGTGCGATGAAGGGAGTACTAGGCATGGCACCAGACATCATTCTCAATGCCAATGCCTGAACTCGTTTGAACTTCCTCGCGTTGGTGTCTGTTTGGGTTGCCCTAATCCATATACTACAGCAGTATGATAGAATAGGTCTGATGACAGCGGTGTACATCCATTTGCATGTTTTAGGGCTCATACCCCAAGTGGGGCCGACAGCTCTTCTACATTGCATAAGGGATGCCGTAGCTTTTTTGGTGGTATTGGTGATATGTTCATTGAAATTGAGCTTGCTGTCGAGGGTCACTCCTAGGAATTTGGCAGATTTGGATAGACCTATAGTGGTGTTACCCACCACCACAGGTCTAAGTGTCCATTTCTTATTCCAGGTAAACATGACTATTTGTGTTTTGAGTGCGCTTATGGATAGATCTTTGGTTTGGCACCATTTTTCTATTGTGTTGATGGTTTTGCGTGTTCTGTTCCAGATGATGTCTAAATCATTCCCCTCCGCTAGAGAAAGCAGATCATCTGCAAAAGCTTGCAGATAACCTGGTATGTCTCTTGCGGTGTAGGCCAGGAGATCATCGACTACCAGGTTCCAAAGGAAAGGGGAAAGGATGCCACCTTGGGGGCACCCTCTCCGGATCCGAACCCTTTTCGACTTATCCTTATGATTTAATGTGATGAATCTGTTAGTTACCATGTTGATGATCCATTGTGCTGTGGCCGGGTCCACTTTCGTGGTCTTGATAGCGTCAGAAATAGCCTTGAAAGAGACATTATCAAAAGCTCCCTCTATATCTAGAAAGACTCCTAAGACATATCCCTTCTTAGCTATCCTGCGCTCGATGGTGTGAGTAACTTTATGAAGGGCTGCTTCGGTTGAACATCCCTTTTTAAAGCCAAATTGTCGTTTGTTGATGTCTTTAGCGATATTAAGGTCGTGTTGCATATGCCACAGTATCACCTTCTCCTGTAGTTTTAACATCACAGGAGAAAGGGTGATAGTGCGAAATGATTTTGGTTGGTTGTAGTCAGTTTTTCCAGGCTTTGGGAGAAAGATTCCAAGGGATTCTTTCCACAAAGTTGGAATGTGTTGGGTTTCATGATTTTTTGTCATAATGGTTCTGGTGATGTCTTTGATGTGTGTCCAAGCTTTCTGTATGATGATAGGTTTGAGGGTGTCGGGTCCAGCAGCTTTTAACGGATCAAAGGATTTAAGAGCCTCCTCGATTCTGTCTGGGCTGTAGATGGTATTGAGTAAGGTGGTGGTGATTGGTAGAGGTCCAGGTGGAGGCACTGGCGGGTCAGTGACACTATCCTTGAAGTGGGTTTGTGTCATGACCTCCAGTGTCTCCTCTGCATTTTTGGTGATGTCTCCGTTTGGTTTGTAAACGGCTTCTAGTGTGTGCTTGTTGTCGTTGCAGGATTTCAGAATCTTGTTCATCCTTCCGGATTCCTTAACAGACTCTGTTTCCTGACAAAAAGTTCTCCAGGCATTACGCTGGGAGTTGGATATAAGTCTGTTGTATTGTTTGTTGCTCTCTCTAAGAGCGAGCCACAGGGCATCAGTTTTCTTTTTTCGGGCTGTAATCAGTTTTTGTCTTATTCCCCTCTGTGCTTCCTCTACTTCTCGAGTTAGCCAGGGGGGTATACAAGTAACGTGTCAATAGGTATAGTAGTCAGAATGTGGGACAAAACTTTGATTGGAGTTGAACACAATAAAACGGTTGTAGAAGCCACATTACACCACAAAATGTGAGCGCTAACTGTGCAGTGCGCTTTTAAAACCACAGTTTTGCAATTTTACTTAGCAATTCATGCGTTATTCAATTGAAATATGCAGGAGCATTGAATATCCAATTGCAACTACCTATCAATTGTTTGTGGCGTTTCTGCAGAATTGAATATTCAACAGTCAATTGCCACAAAATGTGATTCAGCGACCATTAGACGCACATTTAGATGCACTATTGATCATTAGTCTGACGAACAGCTGTGCCAAATATTACAATAATTGAACAAACATAATAATAGATAATGGTGGAGACTTGAACCATATTTGTTTTTGACACGTGATCAATAAACAAGTCGGACTTGCGACCAGACTACTCTCACGAACAGGACCCAATAATTGAGCTCATCATTTTCTAACACGTTGCAGTGAGAAGATGTACTAAAAAATATGATATAGAAATGATAACCAATAGACGACGTAAACCGATAATTTCACTGAAAAGTCGGACACGTGATCATTTTTAACCAATAAACTAGTGGGAACTCGGACACGTGATAATTTTTAACCAATAAACAAGCCGGACGACTAAAAGTAACCAGTAGACAGATTGGTAGGTGTCAGAAACACATCTACAACTGCTCCTGTCCCGTTCTGCGCTACAACCAGGAGGCCGCGTGGCACACCACCACACGCTTCGGCGTGCCAACCAGCGCTCAACGCTGGGCCGATGAGGGCAATTTGCAGTTTGGAATGCAATTACTTAAAGAGAAAGACCAGTTAATGGTTGCAATTTTGTGTGCTTCAGGGAAATAATAAGGTCAGATATTTGTCACGTTGCCGGAGCCTGTATAACATTATCAGCTGAAATAAAACCGACCGTTTTAAAAACTTCTTAACTGGTTTACGTGGAGTTTTAACATCTGCGTACAGCCTTCAGTCATTATGCGTGTTTTATTGTGTTGATTTTCAATCGAAAGTTTTGATAAGCGTGTGATGCATGATGTTCGTTCATTAAAATTTGAATATTGCTTGACATATTTGATCTTATTGCTCGTACAGTCTGTAGCAATTACTTACGTTCGCATAATACAAGTATCATCAAAGAGCTGCTGTATGGTATTCTTCAAGCTTTATCTTACACTGAATTTCAGCATTATCGTTTAAAAACAGATGAATCACGATAAATATGGAACATACATTATCATGTAGTTCTATGTCATTTATTCTGTGCAGCGCACCAAATTGAACAAACTTGATCATTTCAGGTTACACGATCAAAGTTGGGTGCTAAGCAACTGAGAAAATCATACTACCTCCAGAAGAGACTGGGTATTCCTGATGAGGCTATAGTGCTGTGTTGAGCTGCACTACAACACGTGACGTGACACGTGCTTTACAACAGCACGTTCGTAGCGGCTTCAGGTTGAACTGTGTCTTCGATTGATAACCATCACATCAAGTTGAGTTTTGAAACCTAGTTTTGCTTTTTAAGGAAAAGGACATTTGAAGAATGCAAAGTGGTTCAGTAGTGGAGAAAAATTATTATTTTCGACTGTTTCGTTTGCGAGAAATTAGCTATCCAAATCCTTTGAAGTTGTAATCAGAAAATAATTATTTTGATAGGCATGATTTTCTTTTAGTATTACCTGTAATGTGATTCTAAATTTGACTTTTTTTTTCTATAGATACTTTTATAAAAACTGCTTCTGTTGATATTATACAGCTTTGCCTTATTGGAATTGTATAAATCGTCATAAAAAGGTGCAATAATATCGAATCATTTCTAAACTGTGTTACCCGAATTGGAAATATGAAATCTGAATAAACGAAATTAAATTTGATGACTATCGTATTACACATAACGACCATTCACATATGTTACCAGGAAGTTGAAAAATTCATCTCATCTTACCTTTTTCCGTCTTGAATTAACAAAGTTTTTTGGGGACCTCCGTTCTCCGGAATGTCAAGTCAGAAAATGCGCCTCACTATGAGGCGTGCATGTAATGGAAATGGTAGCTACGACTTCAGCAGCCATCGCCAAACGAGAAAGTAGTGATCTACAGAGCGCAATCCTGTCGCGCGCAGCACGTTGTTTACCATATTTGGGGCATTTCGTGGATACCTTGACAACGCAACCAGGTTTTCTGATCTGGTGGCTGATTCAAAAGTGGGCTGATTCAAGAGTGACCATTTCAAAGCATTGATCAAATTCAGACTATCCGATATTCATTCTAGCCTTAATCCAAATAAAAATGACGCCATCTTTTTATGCAGCAAGGTGATTGATCACTTTGTCCGCTGTCACTACTTCTAATTAAACTCTTCCTCTCCCTTCGTGATTAAGTAATAAAGAAATTTGATGTCAGATGTGGGGTCTGATTTATTTTATTTCTTGTCGTCATAAAATCAAAATAAAACGCATCTTTACAAAGGTTATTTTAGATCTATGTTTAGAATTGACAAGGACAACTTTACTTCTTGGCCCACATATATTTTCAACAAGTCACTGTTTAGCCATTTGTCACGGAAACAAAACATTGTGGACCAAAATACGCATAATCAAGGAACAATTTTCAAAATCGAAATAAAAATAGACTTAAAGTTTCTCTCTTGACAATCCATTCTAAAATGTTTACAGAATTACAGTAACAGCATTGTAGCAGCTCGCCCATCTTGATCAATAATCAGGTTCTCTTCGACTTTTTCCATGCCGGTAGAATCCCCAGTTTCAGCATCACGTGCACACATCATGCAGTTGCAAGATTGTATCTTCTCGATTGGTATCGTTCGTTTTATGGGGTTCTTGTTATCCACGAAGCAGTCGAATGTTTCGGTTTCTACCGTCTTCAGTTTTGGCAGACAACATTTGCATTCTGTCTCGATCTGAGGTGGAGGAAATGTTAGTATTCTGTTTTGCAATAATATATAATATATACAATTATATGTGCAGAAAACATTTACGAATCAGATGTTGCTAATTAATATGATGATGATGAATAAGGATATTAGTTAATTTTGCTAATAGCAAAACCTAAAATTGACTTAAATTAATTTTACCTTTCCGAAGATATCTCTCCTCTGCATCTTCTTGCATTTTCCCTTTATGTCCCAACAGAACTTGATTGCGATTTCGTTTGTCTGAAAATGAATTGAGTTATAATTAAGTTATTATCATTCCTGATAATGAGTCCGAATAAGTTTTATTGCATGAATCATATTATGAAGATTCCTGATCAAAATAGCTAAAATAGGCACCAACTCTGGCTGAAAAAAACTAGAACTTACCGATACACACAGAGTACGATCTTCGGGATCGTAATCGTCAGGGTCGACCACCACAGTATCGTTAACAACCCAAACCTTCATCTTTTCAATAGGCTCTTTGACCTTAGATTCACAGGCGGGCTCGTACACAACCATCTGCAAGTTTTAGGGCGTTAGAGAATCTTAGCAAGGCATGTTTTTTCCCACTATTTTAATTAATTAGTGACAGTCACAATAAAAACAAGAGGTATAACAGAAATGTGGGGGGGGGGGGGGGGGGGGGGAGGGGTATAACAGAAGAGTACTTACTGGAGTGGTTTGTGTAGCGATACGATCGGTTACTGGCATTGTTGTAGTGATAATCTGGGTAGGAGTGGTCGCTGAAAAGTAGGGGGAGATTATCAAATAATCCAGCTGAACTCTATTTCATCAAATCAATTGAGGTTCCGCAGAATATTCTAATCAGGTGCTAAAAATTGGTTTATAGTTTGACTGAAGTGTAACTTACAAACGATTGTCTTTTGACAGATTGACATCTCAGGGGCGTAATGGTATGGTTCAGTATCGTCATGAGCGTATTGCGGAGTGGATCCTTGGTCATCCTCAGCATCGTCTATAAGCACAATACCGTAGTTGTCAACACCACCTTCCTCGATCCAGTCACGCGCCAATTCGTGGATTGGAATCTGGAGGTGATATTAGTCAGGTTTGGGCATTTAGTTTTTAAAACAGGGATTCAATATATTCGGTATTCAAAACTAAGGGAAAATAGTTAGAAACTTGATTGGTTCCAATATTTAGTTACATGGATTGCCATGTAATATGAAATTCACTACATGTGTTTGAAATGAGTAACTTAGTTACTAGAAGTTACTTAGTAACTGTGTTAAACTGAGTAACTTACGGTCACTTCAGTTCCTCCGAGTCGGCTCTTCTCGATTATTAGAGAACCGTAAGGCTTATCTTCGTCGAACTCGAGGTTCTCCCAAGTCACATCATCTTCAGTCCATGGTGATGTTATCTAAAAAAAGGTTGGATTAATATCACTGTAATTTCTCAGGTTGATTATTTTCTAGGAACACTGACGAAGATTGGATCCTAATTTCGACTGAAATAGAAAGCACTAAGTTTGACAGTCGCCCTGATTACCTTGTAAACGCTGACAGTTCTTTGGGTAGGAGAATCCTCGTTAGATGGTCCCAAGTAGTTCAAATGTACAAACGACTCATCGATCTGGTAAGTCTTGAACTCTAAAAGACAACAATATGTGATGAACGTGTCTTTTGAGATAATTTAGCGATTAAAACCATCAAACATTTAGATCAAGTAGCAAGGACTAAAATTCCCAGCACACACTATAGTGTAGTATAAATCTAGCTTATAGACAGTTTGGGTTGTAAACTTCGCCCTATTCAACCTTACGAGCCGCAGAAAACACTTACTCTCAGAAAATTGCTCCAAGTCGAATTTGAGTACAGTTCTGTACTTTTTGCCATCGTTGTCCTTTCCGTGGGTTAGAGTTTCGTTGGTCTGGGTTAGAGTTTCGTCACCGTCCTTCACCAGTACGACGCTGGAGACTACATTGGTGACAACCTGAGTGAAAACATGGTTTTAAACATGGCTTACACATAAAGTGGTGAAAATAAAGCAATAAATTAATCAAGATCGAAATGTAACTGAACAGTTCATAGATTCTCTACATACCTTTCCGTAATCATCGTTACACTCCTTGATCTCCACCTTTTTGTAACAAACATCGATCCAAGGTAGGAAATCTTCCTCGACCTCAGTATCGTTGGTGAAGCTGTAATAACGGACATCCTTGGCGTCCTCCCGCTCGTCAGAGCCGTCAGTGTAGTGACTGACAAGGGCCACGCCGTAGTAATCCTAAACAGAGACGATCAGATCTAGCAAATTCGTCATAATGGGTAACAGGGGTAATGGGTAACAAGTGAAATAAGAGTTAAATTGGTAACAGGAGTGAAATTGGTAATCTGACAATGCTACGTTGGACCAACCTTTAATAGCTAATAATGACTCACCTGATTCTTGTTCTTATTGAAGGGACTGATCCACTTTTGGATGGTTTCTGTGAAGTCTGTCCTTATCTTCTTGTTCCTGTTGATCTCCTTGGTGAGCTCGTTGAACTCTCCAGTGCTTTCCTGAAGTATACAAGATTAACTGCTAATAATACAACATCAAATCAGTTCAATTAACCAAAATCTCATATAATATCAATAATATGTGAAATTCAACTACACAGCATGGACTGCATAATTCTAGTTAATTAAATATTTTACTCAATATACTAACATCGATGTTTTGTTCGGAAGTGAGCTGGCCCACATTAGTGGAGATCTCATCCCACGGTACAGCCACAGGATGAAGCTTCGTGATCTGGGACTTCCAGGTCTTGCCTTCAGATCCGTCCTTCACGGTCACGAAAATGTTTGACTCGTAGATCCAAATGTTCTGATGAGGGTGTTACTTTGAGATGTAATTGGGGTTACTTCGAGGCAAACTAGAGTTGACAGTTGATAAAACGATTAGTTGCTGTAAAGTACAGTGCCCAGTACAGAAATAAACAGATATGAAATATTTAAACACGGAGTAAAAACGAAGAAATAATCAAACAAAATCAGAAATGGTACCTCTTCTTGTTGATTTTTAATAAGCTCTGACAGATCGAACTTGATGATAGACATCTTCAGTCCAGTATTGTGCTTTTTGCCGACCACCAACTCATCTGGATTGACATCTCCGTCATCGTCTCCTTCGGTGAAAACGATCGTCTTAGACTCCACGAGAGTTCCTCTGATCTCCTCTCTGACACCACCTTTGGAATAAATGATTATGGATAGGTTCACGATTCGGGTCTATTAAAGCATATTGATATATGGTTTGGTTCATCATAAAACGTTAAAATCATAAAAAAAATAAAATAAAAAGTAAGCAAAATAATAAAATCTTACCTTGCGGAGCATCACACCGAGGGATTGGAGAAGAACTACTAGAAGAACTGGAGCTTGATGGAGTTGTTGTGCTCGATGAGCTTGATGGCGTTGTTGTAGAAGATGAAGTTGTGCTTGATGAGCTTGATGGAGTAGTTGTAGAAGAGCTTGTGGTACTTGATGAACTTGATGGTGTTGTTGTTGAAGATGAAGTTGTGCTTGATGAGCTTGATGGTGTGGTTGTTGATGATGATGTTGTGCTTGATGAGCTTGATGGTGTTGTTGTGCTTGATGAGCTTGATGGTGTTGTTGTACTGGAGGAGCTTGATGGTGTTGTTGTTGATGATGATGTTGTGCTTGATGAACTTGATGGTGTCGTTGTTGAAGATGAAGTTGTGCTGGAAGAGCTTGATGGGGTTGTTGTACTCGAAGAGCTTGATGGTGTCGTTGTAGAAGATGAAGTTGTGCTTGACGAACTTGATGGAGTTGTTGTTGATGATGAAGTAGTGCTTGAGGAGCTTGATGGAGTTGTTGTACTGGAGGAGCTTGATGGTGTAGTTGTGCTAGAAGAACTTGATGGAGTGGTTGTAGAAGATGAGGTTGTGCTTGAGGAACTTGATGGTGTGGTTGTTGATGATGATGTTGTGCTTGACGAGCTTGATGGTGTTGTTGTTGATGATGATGTTGTGCTTGACGAGCTTGATGGTGTTGTTGTACTGGAGGAGCTTGATGGTGTGGTTGTTGATGATGATGTTGTGCTTGATGAACTTGATGGAGTTGTTGTGGAAGAGCTTGTTGTTGAAGACGAACTTGATGGTGTAGTTGTTGAAGATGTTGACACTGAAGGTGTTGGTGTTCTTGAGGTTGTTGAGGACTGTGATGTAGTTGAAGTAGAACTTGTTGATGTTGTTGATGTGGTTGAAGTTTGAGAAGTGGTCGACTCTGTCGGAGTTGTGCTTGGAGATGATGTAGATGATGTTGATGTGGGTGTTGGTGTTTCATTTGGAGTAGATGTTATTGAAGAACTTGAAGTTGAAGAAGAACTTGATGGTGTTGTTGTTGACGAAGATGTAGTGCTTGAAGAGCTTGATGGAGTTGTTGTACTCGATGAGCTTGATGGTGTTGTTGTTGAAGATGATGTTGTGCTTGATGAGCTCGATGGGGTAGTTGTACTCGAAGAGCTTGATGGGGTTGTTGTTGAAGATGAAGTTGTGCTTGATGAGCTTGATGGAGTAGTTGTTGACGATGAAGTTGTGCTTGACGAACTTGATGGAGTTGTTGTACTTGATGAGCTTGATGGAGTAGTTGTAGAAGATGAAGTTGTGCTTGATGAGCTTGATGGTGTTGTTGTGCTAGAAGAGCTTGATGGTGTTGTTGTTGAAGATGATGTTGTGCTTGAAGAACTTGATGGTGTTGTTGTTGATGACGTTGAGACTGAAGGTGTTGGTGTTCTTGAGGTTGTTGAAGACTGTGATGTAGTTGAAGTAGAACTTGATGATGTTGATGATGTGGTTGAAGTTTGAGAGGTAGTCGATTCTGTTGGAGTTGTACTAGGTGAGGTCGTGCTTGATGAGCTTGATGGGGTTGTTGTGCTTGATGAGCTTGATGGAGTAGTGGTTGAAGATGAAGTTGTACTTGATGAGCTTGATGGAGTTGTTGTGCTTGATGAGCTTGATGGGGTTGTTGTACTCGAAGAGCTTGATGGTGTAGTTGTAGAAGATGAAGTTGTACTTGATGAGCTCGATGGAGTTGTTGTTGAAGATGATGTTGTGCTTGATGAGCTCGATGGGGTAGTTGTACTTGAAGAGCTTGATGGTGTTGTTGTTGAAGATGAAGTTGTGCTTGATGAGCTTGATGGAGTAGTTGTTGACGATGAAGTTGTGCTTGACGAACTTGATGGAGTTGTTGTACTTGATGAGCTTGATGGAGTAGTTGTAGAAGATGAAGTTGTGCTTGATGAGCTTGATGGTGTTGTTGTGCTAGAAGAGCTTGATGGTGTTGTTGTTGAAGATGATGTTGTGCTTGAAGAACTTGATGGAGTTGTTGTTGATGATGATGTTGTGCTTGAAGAGCTTGATGGTGTTGTTGTTGATGATGTTGAGACTGAGGGTGTTGGTGTTCTTGAGGTTGTTGAAGACTGTGATGTAGTTGAAGTAGAACTTGTTGATGTTGATGATGTAGTTGATGTTTGAGAGGTAGTCGACTCTGTTGGAGTTGTACTAGGTGAGGTTGTGCTAGATGAACTTGATGGTGTTGTTGTTGAAGATGAAGTTGTGCTTGATGAGCTTGATGGAGTAGTTGTTGACGATGAAGTTGTGCTTGACGAACTTGATGGAGTTGTTGTACTTGATGAGCTTGATGGAGTAGTTGTAGAAGATGAAGTTGTGCTTGATGAGCTTGATGGTGTTGTTGTGCTAGAAGAGCTTGATGGTGTTGTTGTTGAAGATGATGTTGTGCTTGAAGAACTTGATGGAGTTGTTGTTGATGATGATGTTGTGCTTGAAGAGCTTGATGGTGTTGTTGTTGATGATGTTGAGACTGAGGGTGTTGGTGTTCTTGAGGTTGTTGAAGACTGTGATGTAGTTGAAGTAGAACTTGTTGATGTTGATGATGTAGTTGATGTTTGAGAGGTAGTCGACTCTGTTGGAGTTGTACTAGGTGAGGTTGTGCTAGATGAACTTGATGGAGTAGTGGTTGAAGATGAAGTTGTACTTGAGGAGCTGGATGGTGTTGTTGTAGAGGAGCTTGTGGTACTTGATGAGCTTGATGGAGTTGTTGTGCTTGATGAGCTTGATGGGGTTGTTGTACTCGAAGAGCTTGATGGTGTAGTTGTAGAAGATGAAGTTGTACTTGATGAGCTTGATGGAGTTGTTGTGCTTGATGAGCTTGATGGTGTTGTTGTTGAAGATGAAGTTGTGCTTGACGAGCTTGATGGTGTTGTTGTGCTAGATGAGCTGGATGGTGTTGTTGTTGAAGATGAAGTTGTGCTTGACGAACTTGATGGAGTTGTTGTAGAAGATGATGTTGTGCTTGAAGAGCTTGATGGAGTTGTTGTTGATGATGATGTTGTGCTTGAAGAGCTTGATGGAGTTGTTGTACTCGAAGAACTTGATGGTGTTGTTGTTGAAGATGAAGTTGTACTCGAAGAGCTTGAAGGAGTACTTGTTGACGATGTTGAGATTGAAGGAGTTGGTGTTCTTGTGGATGTCGAAGACTGTGATGTTGTTGAAGTAGAACTTGTTGATGTTGTTGAAGTGGTTGATGTTTGAGAAGTTGTTGATTCTGTTGGAGTTGTACTTGGAGATGATGTAGATGATGTTGATGTGGGTGTTGGTGTTTCATTTGGGGTAGATGTTATTGAAGAGCTTGAAGTTGAAGAAGAACTTGATGGTGTTGTTGTAGATGATGAACTAGATGGAGTTGTTGTTGAAGATGAGGTTGTGCTTGATGAGCTGGATGGAGTAGTAGTTGAAGACGATGTAGTACTAGACGAACTTGAAGTTGTTGTTGTGCTTGATGAACTAGATGGAGTTGTTGTTGAAGATGAGGTTGTGCTTGAAGAGCTTGATGGAGTTGTTGTCGAAGATGAAGTTGTGCTTGATGAGCTTGATGGAGTAGTTGTTGAGGATGATGTTGTGCTTGAAGAGCTTGATGGAGTTGTTGTACTCGAAGAGCTTGATGGTGTTGTTGTTGAGGAGGAAGTTGTGCTTGATGAGCTTGATGGGGTTGTTGTACTCGAAGAGCTTGATGGTGTCGTTTTTGAAGATGAGGTTGTGCTCGATGAGCTTGATGGAGTTGTTGTTGATGATGAGGTTGTGCTTGATGAGCTTGATGGAGTTGTTGTTGAGGATGAAGTTTCTCTTGATGAGCTTGATGGTGTTGTTGTGCTGGAGGAGCTTGATGGGGTCGTTGTTGAAGATGAAGTTGTGCTTGATGAGCTTGATGGAGTAGTTGTTGAAGATGATGTTGTGCTTGATGAGCTTGATGGAGTTGTTGTTGAGGATGAAGTTTCTCTTGATGAGCTTGATGGTGTTGTTGTGCTTGATGAGCTTGATGGAGTAGTTGTTGATGATGAGGTTGTGCTTGATGAGCTTGATGGAGTTGTTGTTGAGGATGAAGTTTCTCTTGATGAGCTTGATGGTGTTGTTGTGCTGGAGGAGCTTGATGGGGTCGTTGTTGAAGATGAAGTTGTGCTTGATGAGCTTGATGGAGTTGTTGTTGATGATGAGGTTGTGCTTGATGAGCTTGATGGGGTCGTTGTTGAAGATGAAGTTGTGCTTGATGAGCTTGATGGAGTAGTTGTTGAAGATGATGTTGTGCTTGATGAGCTTGATGGAGTTGTTGTTGAGGATGAAGTTTCTCTTGATGAGCTTGATGGTGTTGTTGTGCTGGAGGAGCTTGATGGGGTCGTTGTTGAAGATGAAGTTGTGCTTGATGAGCTTGATGGAGTAGTTGTTGAAGATGATGTTGTGCTTGATGAGCTTGATGGAGTTGTTGTTGAGGATGAAGTTTCTATTGATGAGCTTGATGGTGTTGTTGTGCTTGATGAGCTTGATGGAGTAGTTGTTGAAGATGAGGTTGTGCTTGATGAGCTTGATGGAGTTGTTGTTGAGGATGAAGTTTCTCTTGATGAGCTTGATGGTGTTGTTGTGCTGGAGGAGCTTGATGGGGTCGTTGTTGAAGATGAAGTTGTGCTTGATGAGCTTGATGGAGTTGTTGTTGATGATGAGGTTGTGCTTGATGAGCTTGATGGGGTCGTTGTTGAAGATGAAGTTGTGCTTGATGAGCTTGATGGAGTTGTTGTTGAAGATGAGGTTGTGCTTGATGAGCTTGATGGTGTTGTTGTGCTGGAGGAGCTTGATGGGGTCGTTGTTGAAGATGAAGTTGTGCTTGATGAGCTTGATGGAGTAGTTGTTGAAGATGAGGTTGTGCTTGATGAGCTTGATGGTGTTGTTGTACTGGAAGATGATGTAGTGCTTGTTGAAATTGAAGGTGTTGGTGTTCTTGTCGTTGTTGATGACATTGATGTAGTTGAAGTAGAACTGGTTGATGTTGTTGAAGTGGTTGATGTTTGAGAAGTTGATGATTCTGTTGGAGTTGTACTTGGAGATGATGTAGATGATGTTGATGTGGGTGTTGTTGTGGAAGATACCGTTGTTGGAGTTGTCGTAGTTGATGTTGAGCTGGATATAGCTGGAAAAATGATATTGTTACTTTTTAGTAAGGGGGAACTTAGAAAGCAAATGTGACCGATTTTTATTTTATCAATGATTGTAATAATGTACTTGATCTATTTAAGGAATAGCACTTACTTGAAGACGTGGTAAAGGATGTTGTGAAGGAGGAGGATGAGGGAGAAGTTGAGCTGGTTGTGGAAGTATGCGAGCTACCTGTTTAATTAGAGTTCATGTCAGACTATTGCCCAGGTTGGGGTTAAGAAGAAGTGTTACCGGTATAAATTCAATTCAGGCGTTATAAATTTTTTATTTAAAGATGATTAAATTGCATGCGATTATAACATTAACTATTCGTGAGTGCTTACAATCCATTTCGACACACTGTCCAGATTCGTTCTCAACAAGGCCCGCAGGACACGCGCACTGTTCAAAGCACTCGTTGGTTGTGAACGTCTTGCATGTCTTCACTCCACAAATGTCGTGACAGGCTGGTCCACACTCTACGTACTGCTTTGGCCATTCGCACATGACCTCTGAAGAATAATAACAATTGAATATTATGTATTGGTTGATGATAAGAAACTTCCATGAAATTATTAAATCTCATTGTCACGATCAGTTCATAAAATGATTTCCCCAAAATAACAGAAAACTCACGGCACTCATCAGTCTTTACTCTCCAGTTGATAGTAATACCCCGAGAAGTACACTGTCTTACGTAAGTTTCGATAGCTTCACAGTAACACATGCAGTCACCACCGAGATCACAACCGCAAGCGTCAAACAGACAGTTCTCGTAGTATGGACCAGGGTTCACGATAGGATGGCAGGCTTCGAATATCTGGTCGTTTATCAGCCTGATTAGATACGGTTAGATTGAAGATTGCGTTTGAAAATATTTCAAATTGGTATAGGAAAACATTAATTGGGACAGTTAAGATACTTTTGTGAAACGATGGCTTTACGCTATAGGATGCTTTTTTTGGTGTTGATTAAGTTGATATTAACATTAAGTAAAAATACAGACACAATTATTATGACAAGCAGAATTGAATACTTTCCATTCAAAAAGATAAGCCAACAAATTGAAAACAAATGAATAATAAAATCAGTGTGAGTACGTACCCACACATGGTCTCTGCAAAGGATCTCCGGAGTGGGTTCTTCTCGCATGGTGTTTGTTCGCTCTTTTCAGCATCAGCACACACCTCCGAAGTTTTCCAGGAGTTGGCAAACGGATACGCAGTTAGTTCTGTAAGTCCGCTCTGCAAAAATGATAAGGTTAACTTATTGAAATTAAATAACAATCAATAACAATTAATTCTAAAATATAACAATTCTCAAACGTATTCTAAACCCGCCTATAATTCGTTTGTGTAGACAAAAACCCAGAGAAAATCAATAATTAGTCGAATGAAAGTACCCAGATTCCAGAAGAATCTTCTAACCTGTAACTTGTAATCATCCTTGGGGTTCTGGTTGTAGTCACCACAGAGACCCTGGAGCTGACCAGCCCAACCAGAACTTGCTCTCACGTACACCTGGGTTCCTCCGTTCCACAAGACTCGGAGTGATTTGTCTCCCTGGTCCCATCCGACCATGAGGAAGAAGCCGACCTTATCGATAACCACAGCTGGTGAAAGGGTAGTTTATTATCTTCAGTAATAATTTATAAATCAAGGCTTACGGTTTTAATTTAACCAAGGGTGCAATTAATGTTCTATTGAATGTTTCAGCTTTAAGCAAAAGTATGAAAAGCGTCGATAAACAGTAGTTTCTGAGTCAAAATAAAAAATGAAACTTCAAACTCGTGACTCACACATTTCCTTATCATCGAAAGGAATGCTCATGGCTTTGGCAGGTCCATCATTGAAAGTTCGGGTAATCTCCCGATCCTTCAGCATGGTGTAAGTGATGGTGTTTTCTCGGTTGGTTACACTGACGATGACACTCTTTGTACATGTTACTGGGTGAGATCCACACTGCTGGTTCTCTGTTACAATCTGAGTGGTGAAGTGTTAGGTGTTCAGTCAATCGCAAAAATCTTGAAATTAATGGTGAGAGATTATTTGCTACAATCTATAAACCATTAAAAACTGAACATCAATAACAGGGATCTGATAAAATAGTAACCTTGTAAGAAAGTCCATCAACAGGTCTGACAGTCTGTGAGAGCACATAACCACAAGATCCCTGGAACTCGAACATTTGTCCGTCAAAGGTCTTGTAATGGGGATCTCCGGAAGCGTGGCACTCTCCGGGGCAGGTATCGTCCGTACATTCTATAACTCCTCCGTTACACGTGCACGTGTTGCATTCCTGGAGTGGAGCACATTATTTCCTGATCATTGCAATCAATATTGGATAAAGAGTAAACGACGTTTAATCAATCCACCTCGTTGACAGTTAATCATGTTCAAGTAAACAAATATTGTCAACTGTCTATTAATTGTGAAGGTATAATTAAGTCTCCAGTCACTCACCCTCTTCCAAGACTGTCCGTCTGTGTAGTCGATACCATTGTGGGTGCAAACAGCAGCTCCGGTTAGCTCCCTGAGGCAGTCTAGATCCTTGGTGCATTCCATGCTTCCGTCGGTACACACACATCTTGTGCATTCACCTTCCAATACCTCACCCGGTTCCTGGATAATTGAACGGTTAGTTAATTGATATAATTACTGGTTAATTGATATAATTACTGGGTAATGAGTTTTAAGTGAAATAATTAAGTTCTCAGGGAGTTGTTATCTGATGGCATAAAGATGGCTGAGCCGAGTGGAGATGAAATTCCAGTGGCTGACCATTGAGAACCCCTCTTATCTGGCTACCACAGAGATCAGATCACCCGACCAGTGACATAATTAGAAACTATGAACCTCGTTTGGTTACGTCAGTGATGCATATATTCAAAATGTAATGGCTTTGTTGTCCCTCTTTGTTCGAGAAGCTGAATCGATACTATGTGAACAATGATTGAACAATACATATAATTCTATCGGCAACCGCTATTGTTTCTACCTATTCTAGTTACATAATAACAGATCAGAGGAGACTTCAGAGAAAGCAGTCTTGATATATTTGGGCAATTTGGAAATCTAGCTAGGCACACTTGGGGCACACTAGCTCCTAACGTGCTCAGCTAATGGACAAGCAATGATATAATAAATTCCTGAAATACCAGCGGTTGAAAATTTTAAAAACAACTTCCATAATAGACCGTACCCTCAGTCAGATACAACACCAAAAACATTATCAAGAAATGCTAACTGACTTGATAATGTTTTCGGTGTTGTATTCGACTTTTCAGATAAATTTCTCAAAGCTTAAACATTGTTTCATTCGTTAATACTACCTTCTTATTTGTCAATTGCTGGTCACAGTTTAACTGCAGTATAAGACGTCTTACCCCAAATATAATTTCATCGGCAGACAAATTGGGCAGTAAATAAATTGATCATATATGACACTTTTCAATCCATCTATCGACCATGTTCCAATGGTTTCTACTTCTCTGGAAGTTCCTAGCTGTGCATAATTCGTATTTATTGGTAGTTAAATGTTTCATTGACGGGTTCCAAATGGTCCTGGCAGCCAAAAAACTTACGTATTTCTGGTCGTTGTAGACACAAGGACACGAGTCCTCAGGAATACAGACTCCATCAACAGTCGAGTTGTAGAGGGATCCAGATGGGCAGTTACATCCCCTGAACAAGTAAACGTCATAATATTTTGTTTTATATTTAACGCAAACCTACATGTTATCCGTGTTCTTTGTATAGTCGTCAGATAGCCAACAGTGAATTCTAGAGACTTCAAAAAACAACAGTCAGTAAATCGTGATTTTACTTAAAACAACAGTCAGTAAACGCGAAATTTCACTAACCGAACACATTTGTAATCACAGACGATCTTGTCCTGGTTGCTCTTATCCTCACAGGTCCTGACACAGGATGTGGCACAAGCTTGGTACTCCTCTCCGGCATCACACTCAGGCTCTGTAGACAGGGGGGACGTTATATTTAGCTGTTAATACTGATGCTTATCTCATCAGGTTGAGATATTGAGAAGTTTGTTGATAACCAGAATGTTGTGTATGCAAAAAAATAGTAGTGGAGTGGAGTAATTTCACGGTTGTTTTTGTTAAAATAACAATTTAATGATAACACACATACATCCCCATGTATAACATAAAAGCACTCACGGCAGATGTTAGCATTATCCCTCCAGCTCAGATAAACTCCGTTTTGGAAGCAAGCTGTGTCGTACATATCAAGGGCTTCACACTGACAATCCTCCTTGTCTCCAAGACATTTCAACATCGCTGTCTTACAGTTCTGGAGGAAAAATCGTTGGTTACAAAAATTAAACCTTTTTGATTCTTCTCGTATTATTTTACGGAATAGCATGGTTGCCATATATTTATCTGTATTATATTTTGTTAAATCTCGCACCACATCAGTGAAAGTACACAGTTTAAAGTCCATTAATTAAACAATTAATTGTTTATTGCTTACTTCGTAGTAACGTGATGGTACAACTGTGGTATGGCACAGTTTGAAGGACTCGTCTTGCATAATGTAAGCACACGCTCCCTCAGCCTGGCTTATCTGTGAAACTGAGTACGATTTTACGGGGATCTCAATAGTCTCACATTCAGGTTCTTGTCTCCAACTGGAAAATTGTAAAACTGTTAGGAAAACAGTCGATGGTTTTAGTACGTCATGTGAAAACTGGTAACCTAATTACAAAAGCAAGCACTATTTCAGTTGAATCAAGAACTGAACAATTCCAACCACCGAACAAACAGGGATCAGATCATAAACTGACCGAATTCCCTCACGAAGTTTCAAATTATTGAAATATTACCTGTTGATGAATGTTCCCTCTGTAGTGGAGAGAATACTTGTTGAAGGAGCGAAGTCGTTGTTGGGTCGTCCGTCAAAGTCACCACACAGACCACACAGGTTGTCAGCGAGCTGCTGAGGAGCGTAGACGCGGATCTCACTCTTTGACCAGTCCACCTGGAGGGCAGTGATGGTTAATTATTATTTAATTATTTAAAGACACATTGGCTTTTATTTTTTACCGCACTCCATTTTATGTCTTGATCTCTCACTTTCTAGGATCTGTTTCTTTCTTGATTGATTATGTCACTGTACTTACCTTTATTATACCTACATGTATTGTATGGTTTCTGCCTCTATTTAGTTTAGTGTGGTTTACAATAAAAGATGTTTTAATTTTGTCTTTGCCTTAAGATGAGTTATACTTTAGTTCACTTTTACACATTTGCTCACATCACTCACAGTCAGCCGCTCTGACATGGTTAACCACCTTCCTTGTGTTGTTGGTTAATCATATGAGCGGGATATAAATACCTCATTTCATTTCATTTTATTCATAATAAGTAAATTAACTAACGCTTGTGATCGATTATTGTATTCACGCTTCGTAAAATTTCGGCAAAAACGATTAATCGATTTGTGTGATAAGTCACGAATAAATCATGTACAAACCTTAAGCCCGAGAGCAGATTCGTGTTTGATCGTCAACTGAACGTTGGAACTTGAAACCCTTCGCACTTGGAAGTCGAATGTGGTCCAGGGAAGCTTGATGAATTCTGAAGATTTGGAATAGTTTTAGAGTTTTGTAAAGTGATGGAGTATCTACAGATCAAATATAAACTTGAAATGATCACTTATTGAACTTCTGGAAACTTAAGTTATAAAAGCATTCTCGATCTTACCTTCGAACAATCCGTTCTGGTTAACTCGGATGGCATTGGAGTTATCAATTGTTATTTTCGTTGTCATGAAGTTTATCTCAACTTCACGGGCCTCGCAGCCTTCGTCGTCACCACAAGTGGCTAGATTCCTGAATGAATCAAGGGTTAATGAATGCGGAGCAATCAATTGTATTGTGTGCACTGTAGAAAAATTTAAAACACAAAATTTGCCGCCAGAATCCAGGATGATCGTTATGTCGAACACATGGTTCCAGGTTCAAGACGCGCACATAAAGTGCGCGTATGCATGTTTATGACGATTGGCGTTCGCGACTGCAGCTCTTGGAGAATTGCACACAAGGCAGGAGTGAGCGAGTGCAGAGGGTCATTATCATGAATATGGAATATAAAAGTGCTCCAAACATTCTCTTCGCATTCTGACTAACCTTCTTGAGAAAATCTTGAAGAGACTTCCAGTAGATTTAGCGAGGGGACCATCAACACAGTTCTGTGTCATAAGGTATGTGCAGCTCCCGAGGAAGTTGAAATCCTTCTCGTCAAATGATTTCCAGAAACCCTGACCTCCGACGGAGCAGACTCCACCACATGGCTTGGACTGGCACTTCCATACACCCCATTCACAAGTACTGAAATAAAGTGGAGAAGTTGAAACACTCAACGTTATTATCTAAAAATAATAAACAGTTTTCAGTTCTGCTGAACACGAGCTATCAAATATGGTATATCTAACAACTTAGTAGTAGTAGAACAATCACAGCACCATTCGACATTCGAGTAAAAAAACAGTTAAACGTCAATAAAGGACACCTCCCGCCATTTTCAAATTCCATTAATAAACTATTGTACGTGTAGTTGTAAGCGAGTATGTGTTATCTGATTAGCCAATAGCACATTGTTGTAGATGGTCTGGTTTACAATGTCAAGTCTTAAAATCGAGTATTGCCCTTTACGTTTTACAGACTACAACAAAATACATATTATATGAAAATTTTATCAGGTAGAGGGCAGGTTGTTTATCACATACATTTTGAATAATGCAATACACTGCGAACACAAATAATATCAAGCAATTCCCCAAACTCAGTACATAAGGCAGTGACGACTCTTAAATTCTTTTGTTTTCTAAAACAACTTACCATTTCTGGCACTCAGTTGATCGGCCCTCTCCAGGAGCGTAGATGTTGTCGTTATACACACAAGAACACTGATCCTTCTCCACACACTGACCATCAGCGTCAAGTACCTACAAAATATGTTACTTTAAACATCAAGTACCTACAAAATATGTTACTTTAAACAAGTACCTACAAAATATGTTACTTTAAACATTTAATTGCATTTAAACTCGAAATTTAAGCCTTAAATCTATGTAAATATGTAATATGTATAACTTAAACATCATTGGTCCTGGGGGGAAATGTGTAGTGTTCCCGTTTGCCCAAGAATCATTACTTGAACAATGCTACTAATAAATAATATTCCGATCCGGATATTCCTTTAAACATACATTGACAGTAATACTTGAACACTGGACAGTAATAATTTACTGCAACTTGAAACATTCGAGTGAATGTTAAGTTAACCTTGTCAGAAGGACAGAAGCAGCCCTCAACACAGGGAAGAGTACAGGCTTTAGTGGTGAAGTAGTTGCTGCAAGTGGACACGCAAGCTGTACCACAGGAGTTGTACTCCATACCAATGGGACAAGTTTCAGCTGAAATTAACAACAGTGTTAATTATACAAGTTGTGTCTGATCGTACACATTCAAATGATTCTTAATGGGTACAGTAAACTGAAGCCAAGAACATTATTGGATTATAGTCATAAATTAATATGGTCCAAGTTATTCAGTTATTGCAATAGTATAAGTCACTTACGATAGTCAGTACAGATGGAGCTAGGCTTCCAGTCAAGGTCCAAAGCGTACTCCTCTTTGCAGTTCATGAAGTAAGCTGAGAGTGATGAGCATGTGCATCGACTAAGGTTGTCTTCAGAACAAGAGCAAACATCAGCAATACACATGTCGTAGTAACCGTGGTTATCTTCACATTGGTCAGAGTATTGCTGAAATTAGAAATCATTAACAATTATGCAATGATGGAGCCAACAAACATTTTATGAACTATTTAACTGAACTTCAAGTCACATACTTTTAGTTACAATATTTTACGATTTATACGATGTTAACTTAGCAAGCGTTTGGTAATAAACGATTAAAGGTTAGTCAGGAAACCTTGATAAGTTCGCAATCATTCTGAGCTTGTTTCTCTCTATCTCCACTGCAAGTTACTGCTGAGTAAGCTTCAGAGTCACAGGTAGCCTGTAAGAAATTCTCTGTCAGATAATAAACAAAAAATCGAACACTAACTTTTAAATTTGACAATTTTTCAGCATAAAATATTTATTAAGGCTGAAAAGTGACATGTCAGGCACAGACTAAGGATGGGGCTAATGCTGAGATGAGGATTTATAAAGAGGGTTAGAGTTAATCAGAATTAAGAGATCATGAAATTAAGGTTCAGGAGTTACTGTTATTTGTTTCTCTGACCATCAAACTTGATCCAAAAACAGGATAAATCAGCATCAGCGAAATTAAACTTACATCTGTCTGCCAAGACTTGGCGAATGCGTCGCCATCATTGAGCTGTGCTCCGAGTTTACTGAGCATGTCGTTAGTTCCGTCTCCGTCAAAGTCACCACAGAGACCTGAAACAATTACACTGTAAAAGACAAATGATTGCACCGTTTAGTTCATTTCACCAGGATTGTAGTTATTGGTATTAACGAGAAAGTGGTTAAAGCCTCTCTTAATACGTATCAGCGGTTAACCGATCAGCTCGCAGTTTCGAGCAATCTAACCGGAGTGCTGTCACGTGTCACAAAACTACACCACTACCCTGCTGTTAGACACAGCAGTGAGATTGTAAACATGATAAAGCCACATATATCACCGCCGTAATGCAAGGCACCTAATTCAAAGGCAAATTCAAACTCAAGTAATGTTGATTGACCATGGTCCATGAGTCAAATAGAGTCATGAATCGCCGAGAGGCTGCGGAGTGAAAATTTTAAATATCGAAATGCGATCGAAACGCTCGATTCAGCGACCGAAAACTCTTGCTCATGTCAACAACAACATTTACAAAACATACGCGCGGCGCTTATACAGCCAATATGGAAGTCAAGTAATTTTTCTTCACTGTTTTAAATTTATTTAAAAATAATATGTTTAACAATCAAAAATAATTTCAAAGCTAAAAAATTATGAATTTATAATTTACAATTTATATTTAAAAGTTTGTTTCTAATAGGTTACGCCGCGCAGCTAGCGGCTTCATAAAAAACCCCCTCGCAATATTTTATACTTATACACAATGATTGTCGCGTTGGATTATGAAAATCATATTATTTTCCGAATCCGGTTTGCCGCCAAGTTTCGTTCTTATCTGTTCTGTTATCTTATTTGTTCGGGTTATGTTAACCCGTCTTCTTTTTAGTATCGATAGCTTTACTTACTAACTACAGAACCTTACCTGCATATTAGTTAACCATTTTTACAGTTAATTGCCAGGAGGTTTATCAAACATATTCACATTATTGTGATTGTAAATAAAAGATTGTAAATAAAAGATTTATTAGTTTAAGTAATTTTAACGATTTAGTGTACAAAGCTCATGATAGACGTTTATGGAGAAGCTATGGGTGAGTCGAGACTACTCGGCCACTCGATTTTATGACTTATTTTCTATTATCTTGTGCTTGCATTATATATAGTTGATTAATAATATTCACATTGCATATTATTACGGTTTCATCTTTTCATCGTCCTTTATTTGAATTTCAGTACTTGGTAGGTACCGGGCTCCTTAAAAACCAATGACGGATTTATGGAAACTGTACAAGCTTGAAGCTGATTCCTGATTCTATTAATCACATGATCACTATGCTACTACACTGCATTAAACACTAAAGAGCTTGATGTAGCGTGTGTGAGCGTGTGTAAGCTTTGCCATGAGTCTATTGTCTGATCGATTTCAACCTCATCAAATCAATAGAGTCTCGGCAAGTACGGTATAGCGGTTCACCGCTTTGAGCTTTAAGCTTTCAGTACAGAATATGTAGTATGTACTCTCATAATATTTGACTCTATTCAAAACCCACTGGATCAGTAATGATAGATGTATTTGTAATCTTACTCCATATTAAACACACACACACATTCTGCACACAAAGATGCTCTTGGAGATGAGAAGAATTCTCCTGCTTTCAAATAAGAAGATAGTTTAGATTTTGAAACCAATAAAACTGGTTAAAACCCACCAAACTATCTTTATTATAAATTCATTGAGGTTATACCGTGTGATCCACAATAATTTCACCTAACTTTCTTAGTAATGAAATCGTCAAAATGGGATTGTACGATCACGAGACATTTTCAATATTGAAAAGGATGTGTTTGAAAGCGAGCAAGTTAGTTATCAGCTATCTAATATTTATGAGGTAAAACATGTAAAAGAAAAGAACAGCTAGAATATAATGTTGGTAGGTATGACAAACTAAAGGCCACTTTGTTCAGAGTTCAGAATACTATAAAATATAAACTATAACGATAAACCTCTTGAATTGTCTATTTTGGTTATATTTGCCACACCATCTACTTTAGCTCTTGGAAGTCTGACTAAATAAGGGTCTAATAGCGTGATGCCTGTTAATTCGCACTTCCCCTGTTCGACTTATTCCAATTTCTATGAAATGCTGTAGAAAAGATTGGAATATAGTGTGATTCAGGAACTTTATTGAGCTATAATTGTTAATTTTTGGATAACTGCGAAATATTTGTTTGTTTGTTTGTTGCCTCTTCATGTAAAATTTGTGACAGTAAAATTGAATATCAGAATGCATTGTGTGTCATGAAATTACAACAATACAAAGTTTTAAACCGTTATTTAACCAAAAATCATAGATTAAGTTTTATAGCGGACCAAAATTACTGGCAAAGCTTCAGTTTTGCTCAAATATGTTGCCAAAAGAACTTTGAAATTTCGTTGCTGTTCATATAATAATATGATGATCATAGGCGTTGTTTCTAAAAAATAACTGTTCATACTCAATCTTATCTTAATTACACTGTTCAATTTAGTCGAGATTACTATATATTCTGACGTCAAAAACAGAATAGGGTAAAGTTCCACTTGCAACAGAAGTGCCGTAAGATATAATCTGTTCGTTAAAATCTGTTCTAGGACCGACCTTACAAACAATCTGTATTTTAGGGCAAAAAACTACAAAGTGCCGGATTAAGCAATAAGCCTTGTTGACCTCTAGAGACTAGAGAGTTATGTATTGCTTTGTTGTTTCAGTCATATTCATTATGTACACAATATGTTAAGTATACATTTTCGTATTTGGAAGTAAGGACAACAGAATTTCATGGGTCAAAATACCGCGAAAACGTCAGGAGTTCATGAATCCGAGATTTTGGAAACATTTTGGAAACATGTGTCAGAATTGTGTCAGAATTGTGTCCGATTTGGAAACATGCCCTTGTAGCCGCAATTATGCCTGGACTGACTTGAAATCGATCTGGTATGGTAGAGGGACATGTGTACTAACATTTCTAACCACTCAGAAGTGCGAAATATTGCCCTGGTTCATGGAATGAACGAAATGAACAACAAATGAACATTATCCTAGAATCGCCTAAAATGAGCTGAAACCGATTGGGATCGATTGGTATTGATACCACAAGTGTCCCAGAGAAGTTTGGTGGGTCTAGCATGTTCAGAAAGGGCTCTGGGGCAATGTTTCCATTTTTGTGTCAGAGTAGTTAAGCTCGTGGAAACATTTGAGTGGTTAGAAATGTTAGTACACATGTCCTTCTACCACACCAGATCGAATCCAAGTCAGTTCAGGCATAATTGCGGCTACAAGGGCATGTTTCCAAATCGGACACAAATGTTTCCATGAGCTCAACTACTCTGACACAAAAATGGAAACATTGCCCCAGAGCCCTTTCTGAACATGGTAGACCCACCAAACTTCTCAGGGACACTTGTGGTATCAATACCAATCGATCCCAATTGGTTATAGTTCATTTTAGGCGATTCTAGGATAATGTTCATTTTTTGTTCATTTCGTTCATTCCATGAACCAGGGCAATATTTCGCACTTTTGAGTGGTTAAAAATGTTAGTACACATGTCTCTCTACCATACCAGATTGAATCCAAGTCAGGTCAGGCATAATTCCGGCTACAAGGGCATGTTTCCAAATCGGACACAAATGTTTCCACGAGCTCAACTACTCTGACACCAAAATGGAAACATTGCCACAGAGCCCTTTCTGGACATGCTAGACCCACCAAACTTCTCAGGGACACTTGTGGTATCAATACCAACCTATCCCAATCGCTTTAAGCTCATTTCAGGCGATTCTAGGATAATGTTCATTTTTTGTTCATTTCGTTCATTCTATGAATCATAGAAATATTTCACAGGAAGCTTAAAATGTTAGTACTCAAGCCACTGTATCATCCCAGGGTAAATCCAGCTCTGTTTACGGACATATACAGCCAAAAACATGTTTCCAAATCGGACACAAATGTTTCCACGAACTCGGATTCATCTTCTGAACGTCAGTCAACAGCGGCGACTTTACGGACTATTTGTAATGTGTAAGCATCATATAAACGCGCGTCAGAAACGCGCGTCATATAAACATTTAGCTGGCATTGCAGCGTGCAGCCCTTATCTTTACCCTGTCTCAATATTGATAATTTTACAACGATTAATTATCAATTATTAACTCACCACAAACGCGTTCAGCCATGTCGCTGGAGATCTCCAAGTAGACTGTACCGACGGTATCGAATCGCAGTGTGAATTCTGAAATGTTATTTTTATGTTTCTATTTCAAAATGCATTCTACCCTTACCGAGGAGAAAAGTTAGGTACCATCATATTTTCTATTATACTAACTAATCCATCACTGGTTTATTTGCCTCTTGAGTCTTGAGTGTTGTTGCGAGTATACAATAGCCGGTTTTCAAAGAGGTTAAAAACTGGTGAGAATTTTACATTGTCGTTAGTTTCACTATACAATCCAATGTTGGAAAACCAGAATAACTCTTGCTAGATCAAGTGTCATCACTGTAATCATGAGCATGTTAGAACATGCAGTTACCTGCAGTGCTGACGAGAATGTAGAATCCTGACTTGAGCACGTATATGCTTCCCACACTGGCCGGGACGGCTGTCGGTGCTCCGTTAGCGTATACATTTCCACCTGGAATGATGTTTGTTACACACTGCTATTGTTTGAGGGAGGAGAGGTGCGCGTTCTGTGTTATTGGGAAGTATAGAACAATTAGTGTTAGAAGCAAAGACATTGTTCCAAGAGTGAAGGTTAAATTGTGACAAATGTATTCCGGTATTATAAAGCATTTCATTATTCATGGTGGGAATGTGGCATACTGGTGGAAATGCAGGGTACTGATGGTTACAGTTTTATGCAATCGTATGGTTGAGAGAATAAGGGATTTTCAACGAGATTCACATTATCATGGGGTGGTTACAGGAAGATTTTAGTGTTCGATGTGATTTATTTACAAGAATTACTTACCAGTTTTGAGAGAAACGATGTTGTCGGAGTATTTTATCTCGATACCAGTGACTGCCGACTGACTTCCACCAAGATTCTCCATCTTTACGGAGATCTGAGAAAATGAAAGAAAATTTAGCATTATTTCAACAATTCTTTCAAAATTGTGTAAATCTGTGACCAATATTAAAACAGCCACATCTATTAATACTTTAATAGAATACTGTTTTAGAATGCAACGTTTAAGAAGTGGATTGTTTAAGTACCTCGAAGAGCCTCGAGGAAGAGCAATCCTTGGCGATGACGTAGTCACAAGTTCCCTTAGCTTGGAAAGCCTTGTTATCGAAGGTGATAAAGTGACCATCTCCGAGAACGGAACAAGCTCCTGAAAGATACATTATGGTAAGAAGTTAATTAGTAGAAATTGTTCCCTGTTAAGTGTAAAGCTTGTTTTGGGTAATGAAACTGCTTATCGTGATTAAGCAGATTTATTTTTCAGGTTTTGGTTTCTCGGTGGAAATAGACGCTTTAAAGTTTGAACGAAACTGATATAATTTGGAAAAACAGACAAAATCAACAACAGGTATGCACTGATTTATATATTTTAAACATTTATTTCACGTTTAAAGGGTTCACTTACCGTCACAGTCGATGTTAGCACAGGCCCAGGCTCCATTTTGACAGCTGCAGCTGGTACATCCTGACGAGGCTGTCTCTCCGTTGGTACACGCTGGGATAGCACCCGTCAGTATTAACAACAATACTAACAACAATATTAACAACAGTAACCATCAATATTAACATGTCATCAGATATACTTTGTCGTCTTTGAAATTTAAAGTACACAGGATCGTGTCCCAGGTTTTCAATTCGTATTCTACATGCTCAAAGATAGAAGTAGGATTATCGTCTGTTCATATGCCTCAACAAGAAGTTGTGCAACAGACAAATATACCACTATAAGAGGAACTACTCGTAATATTACATACGTGATCCAACTTCGACGGGGTTGCCGACAACTCCGGAGGTAGCACGCTTGCTGCGCTCCAAGGAGCGCTCAACTCTTTTCTTGATAAGCTCTTCCATTTCACGGTCAACATATAGCACTGAGGAGTGAGAAATTTAAATTGACATCACTTATTTGTTTTAGTTTCCCATAGACTATAGAGTACTCGACAGTTATGCACGATAAATTCAACAGTAGTTTATGTAAAGATATTATGTAAAAATGGTCAACAACAACATTTCACATGGGATGTAGACAATGACCTAAAAATAGTCATGATACTAAATCTAATCTAATTTGAAATGTATGGTGTATCCTGTACAATGTATATTGTAAGATTTTATCTGTAGATCATGTTCTTTTGCCGAGATTAAGTCGTTGGAAAATGACGGTATGGCTGTTATCAAACCACAATCTTCCAAAAATAATCCAGGATACGATCAAAAATAGTTGGTCGTAATGTACACATAGAAAACCGTATCTTGGGATACGGCGTTCCATGTGTACACTACAACCAACTAGCTTAACACGATGTAAAACTAGAATTATAAGATAACAAGTTATGATAAACTAACCAGCGGCACGTTTCTTGCGCTGGCAACGTGCACCCTCGAATCCCTCCTTGCAGAGGCACTCTCCGGGAGATTTGCACTCGCCGTCGTTGACACAGCCACCGTCGCACACGGCTGAGAAATACAAAAGTTTAGATAAATACGGGGTTTTCGGCAGTGAAAATATTGAGAGTTTTTGATAAACTTAGCTGTTGAGTTTTCAGGTTTAACTTGAAGTAGGACAGGCTATTCCAATTTTATCTTTAGCAACAGGAACCACACTGTGTTACACTGTGTGTTACACTGTGTGTTATACTGTGTGTTACACTGTGTGTTACACTGTGTGTTACACTGTGTGTTACACTGTGCGTTACACTGTGTGTTACACTGTGCGTTACACTGTGTGTTACACTGTGTGTTACACTGTGTGTTACACTGTGTGTTACACTGTGTGTTACACTGTGTGTTACACTGTGTGTTACACTGTGTGTTACACTGTGTGTTACACTGTGTGTTACACTGAAGGGTTCTATGAAAGTTTAACAGTTTCAGTAGAGGACTTACGGACAAGACATTTTCCGTTGCTGTCCTTACTCCAGCCGGCGCAGCAGTTAGCTACCATCTCAACTACCTCGCGTGTCTTTAGCACTGGTACGTCGATCTCAGACCGCCTGAAACATTTCAAGTCATGTACAGATCACGGTTATGAAGTTATTAGTTCAATTGCTTGTAGGGACTGCCAGAATATAGGAAATACGTACTTACTTTGCAACCTATAGCTTAGTAAGACGGGGTTTTTACACTCACTTGATTCGGCGGCAAGGAGTGGTTGATCCGTCCTCTCCCGCACATCTCTCGACGACGAGGGTCTTGATGGATCTCTTTTCTATATCTTCATATTCCTCTGATCGTTTGACTTCCTGGGGAAAGAATGGACATTTAGTTAAGATAAAATAGGACATTTTACTTACTTATTTACTCCATGATATAATGTCTACATCTACTTTAGATTAAGCCAACCTTAGAAATCATGAGTTAATTTTAGACTACTACCCGCATTCTTGTGCAGATAAGCATACCTGAAGACAGACGTTGTCTCCGGCGCTTCGCTTAGCTTTCTTTATTGATCTGATCTCATTAGGAAGGGAAAGGTCTTCTGATCTGAAACATAATATTGTGTCAGGGATTCAACTATCGGTTTAAAATACCAAATTGGTCTGTTTTTTCCCCTTAAAATTATCCAGCAGTGGATATATTGAGATTATAATATTGAGATTTATGATATTAAACATTTAAGCTATGTTGAATGATCATAATGATCTTAAGATCATTCAGAATCGGTCATATTTTCAGACATTGGTGAGGCACCTAGTGGCTCATATGAGAATAGAGATGGATTCCATTGGAAAGGATTTGGCCAATTTATCCAAGGTTTATAATATCTAATATCATTTTTACTCGATGTCGTTCATGTTATACAAGGGTGGAATATCATGGATCTCCATGTTTAATTGAAAATCTCAATACATAATAATTAACACAATTCATTTTATACAATCGTTAAAGCGGGAATACAAATTCACACAAAAGTTAGAATTGGTAAAAAAACTAACGAAGTTTAAAGTGATTGATTAGATATCTTAGCTAATTGTAAAAGTAATTTGGAAGGTTTACTCACAAGGAAAGGTTAGAGGTTAGAAGGATTATCAGAAGAACAGAAATAGGCGCAATTCGCATTGCTTGGAACTCTACAAAGAGAGTTTGGAATCCTTTTCTCTACCTTGTATAATTGCAAATCGTAGAACCGGCTATAATGGTCGCAGGTTTTCAATAGCTACTGTAAATATTATTTATGAAATTTAAAAATTAAAAAAAAGTTATTTTTATTTTATTATTATTTATTTTTTTAAAAGTTTTTATTTTTTTATTACATAAAATAATGAAAGCCTATTATTAAAAGTTAAAAAGTAGAAAGCAAAATTGTGGGTTGCTATATTATAACCGTGCGTTTAAAAATAATGATTAATTTTTTATTCAAAATGTGAATCTGAGATTGGTTTGTTTGTTGGTCGATAGGTTCAGAATGAAAATTTTGCTGACAGAACTTGCAAAAACTGTGCTGGTGAAATGCTTATTCATCTTTTCTTTACTAACTGCGGAGGAAGATATCTTGGAAAATCCATCCATTATTGAGCACAATGCACATGATGATTGATGATGACAGATTCAAAAGGTTAGTGGAAATGAATGCGTTTTATCGATGATGATCCATGGAGGGTTCGTTGCATTCGGGGTTTTGTGGCTGAAGTGTTCATCGTCCCTCATGATTATGAAAATTCTTATTCAATAGATGGTTGATTGGCAGTATGACTGACTCCCCGATTGCAACATTTACGTCAAAATGGCTGATCAGCTGAATCCTTCATTCAAAGGGAGAAATCTTGATGAGAAATGTTTATCGTTGATGATAAAATGTCCATTGACGAATTTGAAGTTGAACTGATTGAAGTCTTTTGAATTGATGATAATATGGGTGACAACACGCGATTTTAAGTCCATCCTCTTGACTTTTTCCGACATAAAATCACTCAATATTACAGTAAGATAACAATAAAACTCGTCAACGAAAATCCCGCTAAAATAGGGACGAAAAATCATGAAAATTGGGCTGTGAACGCGAGTAGGGAGTGTATAAAATAAATAAATTTACTAACTATAGCATACAAACACCGTGTGAGTCCCTGGAGTGTGGATAATCTAAGCCTCATGGAACGGCGTTAGTTTTAGCCGGGTAGAGGCTTAGAAAATGGATCAATGTTCTCTGAGGACACGTGCAGGTCACGTGACATTACGCAGTGGGCAGCACCTCCCGGGGGAATGTCCGTTTAGCGTTCTCACACCTGAGAAATGCTTGCCACCAGCCGACCTGGGAGAATTGTGTGTATACTGTGTGAGGTGTGTACTGTGTGAGGTGTGTATGGTGTACACTCGTAGACGGTGGAGGGAGATGGAGAGCTGGAAAAAGCTGGAAATGTTTGCAATCTGATGCTGGGATGGACTTACATCTGATTAATATTAATAAGGGAGTGGAATACGTCAGTACTGGAATACATCAGTATTCAGTAGCTAGTATTTCAGGCAATATTCTGTGTTGGTTGGTGAAATTCATGGCGGCCCTATTAGAAATGGTAACTTGTAAAAAATATAATGGAATCCTAAACATAAAACAACTGTTAGGACAATGGATCAATGTTGAGAATATAATTTTCCTTAGATTTAAGTCTTTGCTCCTAGTAAGTTTGTAACGACGAAATAAGATTAATATCGAGCAGTTTCCTTTTTATAATGTACTAGTCAAGAAGCAAGAAGAGTAGCAAAAGTTTAATTATTGCTGAAATAGGGACGTTTAATACGCAAAATTTCAGTAGTGGAGTGAGTTATGGAAAATAAAAAAGGATTCACGTATTATCAAAACTCCAATTAATGGTTAAGATCTTAAAGTTAAACCTTTAATTCATACGCGTTCAACTTCATACCTACAAGTACACGCGCGTTGAATTAAAATTTACTATTTCATAGTCATACAGGCTGATCGATCCAATTCAGTAATTTATTTGGAATATTGTTTCCTAAACACTCCTGGAGAGTGGACTGTGGAGAGGGATCTTTGCAGTTTAGACTAAATACTCAACACTTTTTAAAGATTGACTAATGTGAAATGTCTCAGTGAACACTCTAGTCGCCAGATTTCTATGGTTTACTCTACTTCGTTCCCAACATCAGATAAGGCGACCAAAGATTAGGGTTCGTGTGAGCGTCGTTATATTCACGATTGTTACATTACATTAAAAATCTTCGGGGTATTATTTGCTGATGCATTTTAACCCCGTTAATCGGGAGTCAGATATTCTAAAAGCGATAAATGTAAATCAGAACCCTGATTTACCGTAATTTTAAAATTAAATGGTTACTGGGCGGCGTCATATCTTATAATCTTCATTCGGTGTTTATGAACATTAGGCCTGTGATTCCCAGGTAAAGGTTTGGCGGACCGAATTATTAATGAATCCCTACCGCTTACCCCAACCCTAACCCTAGCCCTAACCCCAACCCTAACCCTAACCCTAGCCCTAACCTTAAGTCTAACCCTAGCTCTAGCCCAAGCCCTAGCTCTAGCCCCAACCCTAACCCTAACCCTAACCCTAACCCTAACCCTAACCCTAACCCTAACCATAACCATAACCCTAACCCTAACCCTAACCCTAACCCTAACCCTAACCCTTTACCCTAACCCTAACCCGATCCCTAACCCTAACCCTAACCCTAACCCTAACCCTAACCCTAACCCTAACCCTAACCCTAACCTTGACCATGACCCTAACCGTAATAACCCCTAACCCTAACCGTAACCGCAACTTACTGCAACTTACTCATACTGCAATGGTCTGAAGTTGAATGTAAATATGAAATAATATGCTCAGCTCACTCTAAAGTTACCACTTTTGTTTCATACAGAAAAGCATCAAACTCCGTCTGAATTAAAAGTTCAATTCATCTTTAATTAAGAGTGACGTAGCTCCATTCAGTCATGATGTGCTGTCTCGTAGTTGTATTGAATGGCGCGTACGGTTCAGCTTCAGTATTCAGGCACTGCTAGCGCACCTAGGCACTGCTGTTTTAACGAAGTATTTGCGTATTATTCGTTGAGTCCCAAAAAAAACTTTAGTTGAAATATAATACGCATGCTTACTGCATGTTTCCTTCCCCTAATACGCCATTATAATTGAGACACAACCAGAACTATTAAAGACTAATTTTAAAATTTATTAAAATTCACAGTAATCTTGAAGGCTTATATCCCTTTCTATTTCACAGTTATATCAAGTATATTGTGAGAGTCGTAATTTCATCACACTTCCATCAAACTACCACACTACCACTACCCGGTAGTCATGAGTAATCAGCGAGTTTTTAGGTTGACAATATTTTAGTAATTTCATGCGGCTGCAACCAGCACGGGTAAAGACCACTCGTGCACTGGACTCAACTTCACGTGAACTTCCTGAACTTTTAACGCACCCCAGATCCACACGGCAGTGGAGCCTCTAGTCGGCGTGACCCGTGGTGCACTCAATGTAGGCGTGTCATCACCAGGACAATAACATTAGTATCACGCCCACCAGCACAAGCTTTTACTCTCACTCCGGGGTTTGGACGGTGGAATTGAGTGAAATTTTAGAAATCACCCAAAAAGTGGGAGTGTCTCGTTGAGATGGAGGCATGAATATTGTTAAATATCATGCATGTATACATGTACACAGTCCAGTTACACCCGGCTATAATTTGTTACCGGTATAATTCACCTGCATCCCCGAAAGGTGTCGCTTTAGATTGTCCGTGTTTGTCCGGATCACGTGACGACAATTATCACGTGACCGGCCCATGACCCCCTCGTGATCTCACAAACGATCTCTCGTATTAAACTATAACATAGCCTAACATTGTTCCATGCGGTCCCCTGGATGGCGATATTTTCATGTCGTTTGCGCGACCAGCTTTATGTACTCTTACTCCCGTCACCGTCAATTTATAACATCTTTTTAATGTTTTACATTATCAATTTTATTATAGTAACTGTTTTATTAACCGTGGTTGTATTCGTAGATTTTATCTATCGATCAGATTTGTAACTGGTCATTAATGTTCATTGAAAATCGTTCTTACCCGTCTTCAAACATCATTCACTCGACCGTTTACCGAATTTCAGTCATCTTCGCTTTTCTGAAAAGAATATCATCAAAATATCAGAGACCATATCAGAATCAAACCAGGAACCATTGAGCATCTTGAAAACGTTAAATCAGTCGGATTTCAACCTCACAAATCACAAATCATGTGATTCAATGAAGAATTTCAAAGACATCTATCTCGACGACTTATCACTCCTCGATCAGTCGGACAATTGTTTTAATGATCACCTCATAAAGACGGACTATTCAGTTTCCTCTGACCCATCGTTTTGCCGATTTTACATCAAAATCATCTGCTGGAACTCCACTCCTCAAAACTTCAAAGATTCGTTATCATTGTCATTCAAGGACATCTGAGCATTCAGAGAAATTTAAATTAATTTAATTTATTAAACTAATTAAATTTTCCAATCTACTAATAAATTAATCGACTAATAAATTATATTTTCCCTCTAGATATTTTAGTAATCCGTACTTGGTATATGATATTACCGAATAGCCATCGAACGCGAATAGAGTAGCGTTATTCAGGAGATGCGCAATCTTTGCTATCTTATAGCTACTACCCAATTCCTTATCCTCCATGTGGTAGCTAACCTCGAGTGAGTATATTAAATAAGTTTAAATAAAATACAATAAATTATTTGATAGTAATGAATTTATTAAATAAATAGATAAAATGAATTTTTAAACCGCATGATTATTTTAAATATTTATTTCTTCAACGGTGTAAGTGATAGATTATGTAAGCAATCATTAGCAATCAAATTTCTCTTATTAAGTTGAGTAATATCTATCAAATAATATTTATTATTAATATCATTTGATCTCATATATTATCTCTAATATTATGAGATTTAAATAAGTCGTTCAGTTGGTCTATATTATTAACCTTGTGTAGTGATCAACCTAAATCAAAGGGGCACTTGATGCCAAATCAGATTAGGTCTAAAATGGTTTAATATTAAAGCTCCTCGATCAAATTCTATTGACCTCACGTACAGTTTTAAATTTAACCAAACTCCAGTCCGGAATTTGAAAGTCTGTTTTTGGCTGCCATCTTACACTCAAGCGTCTGATATTTTACCCTTTCATTAAGGACTAACATCTTAAGGGCAACGTATTCTATCAATGTTACATTGTACATCCGTTACCAATGGTAACCACTGGCAATCACTGGCAATCCTGGTCCTGTGAAATAATATAAGCAGTTAATTTTCATAAGATAAAGTTTAACTGGCTATTTTACTGGCTGTTTTACTGGCTGTTTTACTGGCTGTACGTGTAAACACGCTCTAAAGATCAGCACCCAGTTGGTTGTTGACGCTTTGTTCGAAAATTGATGCAAAGACATTGTAAGGACCGCATCTCGTACATTTTTACATGATTGTTTGTGATCAATACACTAGTTACGAAACAAACCCTATTGAAGAATAGGAGTACCGTTCGTCTGTGTTTAAGAAGCTACTAGTAGACTATCTAAAATGAGCCTGTGCCAGTAATTTATGACAAAAACACTGAGATAAATTTCCATGTGATTTTGATTGTTTAAAGGAATTCTAATCTACCCAAATTTCAGCCTTAACGACCTAGATCTCCCTTCCGCTTTAAAAGATGAAGAAAGCGACCTTGCAGTAAGAGTAAAGAGAGAGTTCCTCTCTCAAGAAAAGAGATCGTTAGGTTTGTACTTTGTAGTTTTCATTATAAGATCAGTTTATGTCGAAATGAAAACTTTTAGATTAGTTAAAACATTATTTTGTTTTATAGCGACCCTCTATTATACTTTGACAAATATTCTAATTTACTGTGATTACACTGTAATTACACTGTGATTACACTGTGACTACACTGTGACTGTACTGTGACTGCACTGTGACTACACTGTGACTACACTGTGACTACACTGTGACTGCACTGTGACTACACTGTGACTGCACTGTGACTACACTGTGCATGTGACTGCAGGAGATAATGCTCGTATAACACAGGTGAACATGAGTGCAGAAGCAGAGTAGAAGAGCTGGAGGTAGTCAAGAAGTCATCAGATCATACGCGGCAAGTAAGAGCCCTCAGGGTTGCTCGTTGTGCTGATCAAGATGGCTCCGGTGACGGTGCCTGCGGCAGACTCAAGTTAGTAAATTGTTAAACATTCAGATAAAACAGCGCTCGTTATTTACTTGAATCATCACAGAAAACAATCTCGAACTTTCTCTTCTCCCTAAGAACCCTAAAAAACCTCGTTTAAGCGCTATACCAAGCAATAAAGCAATTTGTACTGATAACTAACACATGACCAATCAGGAGGTCCGAAGAGAGTAAGGAGCTAGAATATGTCCGTGTAGTACGTGACGTAGTCGGCTGCTGCCCCGGATGGAACAAAAACGCAGACGGCCTGTGCAAAACCCGTAAGTTTACGCCCGCCCTTATTTTATTCAGTGTTACTTTGGTTGAACAAATATGTTTTATTCTGATTAAAACTGTCATCTTACTAACATCTAAGTCTTGTCTTAGTCTGATCAAGATTTAAAAGTTTCGTTATTTAAGTGATGATTTAGTTTGCAGAGTATTGTAAGAATCATTTCAGCCATCTGCGAAGAGGGTTGCGGTGAAGGTACCTGCAATTCTCCAAACGAGTGCGCCTGTAACGAGGGCTACACTGGTAACCGCTGTGAGACCAAGATTGTTCAAGGTACTTTATACAATATTACTTTTATTTTTCTTATCAACTTCAAGATGTTTCTTAATTAATAGTAATACGATAAAGACTAATTGGCCAGCTTCATAAAATAGTTTTCATGATTACGTTTCTTGGCTTTTACGACCTAAATTTCAGTTCTGACACTGGAACAGAGGCTGAAAGCTGAAGTGCTGGCTGCTGAAAAGAGGTTCCAACCAATTGCAGAGGGTGGTATGTCAATGACTAAGAGAGACACATACCTCCTGCCCGAGTGTAATGCTAAGACCGAGGGTGACGTCATGCTGGTTGGCTGCCGATCTTGGTAAGTGCTAATAAACAGACAAACAGACAACTTTACAGACAAACCCAAGCACACAGACTTGGGAATACATACAAACTCACAACCACTTACTTGGAAAATAACCTGAAATTCACATGACAGACACCCACATTAACATAGAGAGACTATTTGAAATTTGATGTCAAACACTTTTCAAATACATTGCACCTAGCTCTCACACAGATTTCAGTACACCACCATCTCTAAGCACACTCATGCTCTTCACGGTGAACACATACACACAGATTTCTAGACGAACACATTCTCCCGTATTTCCGTGCGCATTGAATCGAATAAAGATTGGTTTAAGACACTGAATGAGCAGCACATGCTCAGCAGCTGATTGAGTGTGACTAATGAGTTGTGAAAGATTCTGACTAACAGTCTGACTAAAGATTCAACACGACATCCATGTCGACTTTTCATTCTCCATAGTTAAGCTTGTTGTGAAATTTGACCTACAGTAGATTAAGTAACTGGGTGATTTCATCACGTGATACTATAAGCTTGGTATGAAATTGGACCCACTGAGAATTGGGCGAATTGGTTATTATTTACCCTAACAATTAACATGTTGCTCCTCCAGTGAATGCAAGGACGCAAGCTGGCAGTGCGATGCTATCAACTGCGATGCCCAGTGTTCCGTAGTCGGAAATGGTCACTACAACAGTTTTGACAAGCGAGCATTCACCTACCCAGATATTGACTGTGGTCACACCCTCGCCAGGGAGTGCTCCACAGAACAGAAGTGGAAAGTTACTGGGTCAGTACTTTCCACACAATGTTTTTTATTAGCTAATAGTTACAGTGATAGATCTCAGACCAGGCCATACCTCTAGGTTCTAGGACTCTTCTGTCTGTTACAAGGTACAAACTTTAAAATGGAAGTTTAAAATGCTTATCTAAGCACTGTACCATGTAACATTTTCTTTTTAGTAAACATCTCACATAAAACCAAATTTCCACCCCAGATACACCAAAGCTGACTCCGCTGAACTGAAGGCTATCACCCTGACAATGGTCGGATTCGAGGTGTCAGTAGACGCTGATCTCCAGGTTTTCCTGGACAGAGAAGCAGTCTCTCTCCCCAAGACCCACGCTGGACTCACCATCAAGATGGCTGGTTTCTTTGTTGTCATGACTGACAGTACTTTCAGCATCAGGTTCAACGGTGCCGGACAGTTCTACCTTGACGTAAGTCGTGGCAAAATATTTCATTATATTCGATGTTCCTCATTCTAGATTTGAACCAAAATGTTTACAGAAAGAAATTTAGCTACGAAAAATTTTAGAACCATAGTTTCTGGGACTTTTTCAAATCTTTCTTTCTCCCAGGTATCAAGCGAGTACTCTAAGGGTCTGTGTGGTATGTGTGGTGACTACAACGACGATCCCGGCAACGACTTCCAGGACACCTTCGGAGGTCTCAAGGACACAGTTGAAGCGTTCGGTAAGACTTGGAGACAAGGAAACTGCCCGGACAAGGTACAGTTCTCAGACAACTGTGGCAACAACCCAGCCATGCTCAAACTTGCCCAGGACGCCTGTTCTCCAATCAAGAACAGCCAGGAGTGTGTTGATGATGGCGACCAGTTCTTCAACCTTTGTGTAGCAGACTTCTGTGACGACCCAACTACAACCAACACTCCTTGCAACACCCTGTCGGCTTTCTTCCACGAGTGTGCCGCCACCCAGGCTATCTTCATTGATGACTGGAAGACAGGAAGTGACTGCGAGGCTGTACCTGAAAAGTGTGCTGCTGGTAAGAGATTACTATCTTGATTAATTAAGATATTCTTATCTTAATTCGGAGTTTAGTTACTAAAGATGTGTCTGATAAATCGCCTATTTCCAGTTTATCTATAATTTAATTAGGTTTCGTTATCTAACTCTTATTCCAGGTTTCCAGTACAGCACCTGTGCTAGTGCCTGTCAGCTGACATGTAGCAACTACATCATGACGTCAGAAACCTGCGGGCTACCTTGTGTAGAAGGTTGCTTCTGTCCCAGTGGCAAGGTGTACGACGCTGCCACAGAAACCTGTGTCGAGGCTCAGGTATGTACGCTCTACCATAATAACCAAGACACTGGAAAGTGGAAATTTACAATTGATTTATTACTAGTTATCTCTTGTTGCAGAAGCTTTTAGCTCAATCCATGCCACTGCGAGGAATCTGTGTTGAGAGTTCCACTAATATTACCTTTCTCAGCAATGTTCCTGTGAGTATGGTGGCCAGTACTACAACGCTGGAGACGCCCTCTCCAAGGACTGCGAGAGCTGGTCAGTAACACTCTCTGTCACGTGTTTTGCAGCAGTTGTATATTTTGTCACGTGGCCTGTTTGTTTATTCACGTGATTTGATTATTTGGTCAGGTGGTAGTTTATCGTTTTGAAACTTTACACCTCTAACAACAATCAACTGTTTGTTCGATTTGTTGGTGATTTTAAAGGTTGTAGCTGATGCTTCACCTCATTAAAGTTTTATTATTACAGTATTATCTGACTCAACACAAAACACGCAAAATAACTTTGCCAAGGTTCCGGCAATAAATCGAAGAAAAGTTGTCTAAATTAAGAAAAGCACACCGATTGACAACGCGCAATAACTTCTAATAATAGTTATACTGTATAAAGTTTGACCCTGCCCCTCCAACAGCACCTGTGCCGACGGAAAGTGGGAATGCTCCCAGAAGGAAGACTGTACTGACGTCTGTTACGCTAATGGTTTCGGAAACATGTGGACCTTTGACGACACCGAGTACAACTTCTACGGAGCTTGTCAGTACACAATGGTAAGTTTGATCCAAGATGAAAACTATCCTCAGTCCAACTAGCATGTTTATTTCAGATGTCTTTACCAAGTGATTCTAGTAAGTATACTCAGGTTCCCACTATAACATGATACTTCCTACAGGTTGAGAACTGTCCATCAAACGACCCCACATCACCTGCTGCTGGCAGCAAGGTCAAGGTCTCCTCATCTCGATCTCTCACTGGCTGCACTGAAGATGCCTTCTGTTACCGTAAAGTCATAGTATGTACCCGTTATTAATACAAATTTTTGAATGTGTAACTTTTTATCTGGGTTTAGAGTCGTTAGAATACCACAGCGCACCTAACAATAACCATCATGAATCATGATCCCATGTGGGAAGCGGTGAGAGTAGCTGGTTATAAAACTCAATAAACAACCTACAACTACAGGTAAGAGTCATGGACTGGACAATCGAATCAATTGATGACAACATGGTCAAGATCAGCCATCCAACCTTCCGAACCGGAGTTGGAAACATGGCTCTGCCTTACATGTCCGATACATTCGATGTCCTGAGATACTCAAGCATGTAAGAAAAAAATCATATTGATCTTGCCGAAATTATTTCCTTATACCCAGGATTCCCAGAAATGGGGGTTCGCTGAACGTCGACTTATACCAGAACAGCTAATAGGTAGAATGTATCCAGATTATTAATATTACGAGCCAAACGTACTAGCATGGCATCGGCCGTGCACATCAGAATCTAGCCGCTATAAACTTCCACTAACCCGCAATCTGTGCAGGATAATCCGACTGAATGTGAAGATAACAGGATACTCAGGACTGAGTGTGATCTGGGATAACGAGCAACTTGTTCAGATCATCGCACCAGGAGCTCTCAAGAACGCATTGTGCGGTCTTTGCGGTACTTTCAACGACAGAGCTGCTGATGATTTCGTGCCCAAGAACAGCAAAGTGTACGAGGATGATTCCAACATCTTCGCACTCTCATGGCAGGTAGGATCACTAAGACTATCTTTCAAAGAAGCGAAACTTTGAATTATCCTAGCAGAGCTCTCCTGAAAACCAGTGATTATCTTCCTCAATCCCACAATTATTATTAAATTTGGCAGTATAACCACTTTCTAACATGGTCACCTTGTCAGGAAGACAAAGGAACATGTGACGACAGTGACAACACTCTGCCCATCAACCAGTCACCTTGTGACCGTAACCCAATCGGAATGGTCCTTGCCGAGGAGAACTGCAACGTCCTGAAAACAAGTCCCCACTTCACCAAGTGCCACTCTGCTGTGGATGTTGGACCCTACTACTCCAAGTGTGTCCAGGACATGTGTCACTGTCCCGGTACCCCTAATCCTAACCCAGAGGTGTGCATGTGTGAAGCTCTTGCTAACTACGCCAGACAGTGTGCTCTCAAGAGTGTTTACATTGACTGGAGGACACCCAACCTTTGCCGTAAGTAGAACTGTTGTTTTAAGCGGTTTTGGAAGCTTTTATTAAAATAAATGCTTTGAAGGTTAAGAACAACATTTTATAATCGAACAAGCTTTTGAAGAGTTAAACACAGTCTTGATGATCCCAAGTTAGCACTTAAAGTTTCCAATCTTCTGAATGTTACCCTGGTATAACCTCAAACTAACCCTCTTTCTAACCTCAAACTAACCCTCTTTTTCCTCCCCAGCTGCCGACTGCTCAGCTGGACAATCCTACGCTGCTTGCGGTAATGCCTGTATCCACACCTGTGCTGATCTGTCTTCAGACATTGACTGCACCAGAGACTGTGTCGAAGGCTGCAGTTGCCCTGATGGCCAGATCCTTGATAAGGTATGTTTTACCTTATTGTGTGAATTTTATCGAAAAGTTTCTATAAAGTTTTTACCATAGAGTTTCGAATTTGAGTATACATTTTCCCGTTACGACATCAAATGACACATTTATTTAACATTGAGACGGGTTCCGTGCGGGTGTAGATGTTGCAAAAATAATGGTTAAACTTAATAAGTATTGATCTCATAGTTAAGTAGTTCCAGAGAATTAAATCATGTGACATGGGCGTTTTAGTTACGTAATTTGCAACTTTCACAAATATTATCATATACAATACAGCAATTAGCAATAATATGAAAGATGAAAACAACATCATGAAGCATTAGAATATATATCCCCATTTAAAGGTCCTTTAAACACGCTTATATAATCCCGTTCATAAACCCTGGTTCCCTCAGACCGACGGAGAGTGTATCCCAGTGGAGCAATGTTCCTGTCACGATGATAAGGGAGTTGAGTACCAGCCCGGCGACATTATCCCCGACGACTGCAACAACTGTACCTGTACCAACGGTGTCTTCGTCTGCACTGAAGAAACTTGCCGTGAGTTAATTTTGATATTCTTATTTTGTCTGTTTTGTGGGAATTTCTTTGCTAACCTCTCATCAGGCACTGAATTTATCAGTTTGTGCCCCTTTAAAGCTGTAAAGTTTGTGCCAATTTTTCGATTGCAAGTTTTCCTTCAGCTGGAGTTGACGTAATGTGTGAGTTCTACGACTACCAGTACACGCAAGGGCAGTACATCATGAACGAGTGCAACAGATGTACATGTACCTCCAACGGCTGGAAGTGTGAAGATAACGACTGTCCAGGTATGCGATTTGATATAATTAAATAGCTTGAGCATGTAAAATAAGTGCAGGTTGAATATGTTTGGGTTTCAGTTTGTAGGTACACTCTGGATCAAAATTAAGGCCCGGTCAGGGCTCATGGTATTGGTACAAAAACACCCTCCCTTTGTTATCTTAGAACGAAAGCTCGCTACACGTTGCGTGTAGCGAGCTGTATACACATTAACCACTGTGCCCGCCCTGTATAGCACTGTGTAAGTGCCGTTTCTCAGAGAGTGTTTCATCATCACTCTCGTAGGGGCGCTATGTTTGCCCTCTTAGAGTCACGGCTGTATACACGGAAGGAGAGGGAGAGGGAGAGCTGGAAACTTTGCTCCAGGCTAATTATCAACTCTCTAATAAGAAAGCTTAATTTATGCGGTACATTGTATTATGTGTCTCCAATTTGATTTTTGGAGGTTTTGGATAACATTATACTAACTCAAATAAACTAAGAACTATAAGAATGAGATACTTCGTGTTTACCTGATGAGGGATAAGAATAAAATGCTGAATAAGTTTCTATAGCGAAATAGTCATGTGCTCAATATTCTCCTCTTCCAGAGTTATTACATAACATCGGAGAGTACAGTCAGCCTTATAAAGTTGACAATATTGTATGTGATTAAAGAGTGGCTCAACTGGTCACATCTTAGGTTTAAGTAGAGAACCTAAACCTTAGTCACATCTAACTCTCGATACTTAGCTGAAATACTCATATGAATTACTCACCAAACCACGTGTGTCCCAGGAGAGTGCCTGGCTTATGGTGACCCTCATTACCTGACATACGACGGACAGTTCTACGAGTTCCAGGGCGAGTGTGAGTACACACTCTCCGAGTCAGACAGATGGAGCGTGAGTTCAATTTAGTTATTTAGTTATTTAGTTATTTAGTTATTTAGTTAGAATTTAGTTATTTAGTTAGAATTTAGTTATTTAGTTAGAATTTAGTTATCTAGTTAGAATTTAGTTATTTAGTTACATTTGTAGAGCACAGCTCTCTAATATATTTAGTAATCTCAGTTCTCTGATATATCAAGTTATTTTAATTTTTGGCATTTTCGGTTGGCATACTCTATTACCTTATTACCAGGGTCGAATGTAAATCAAACTCGCTTGCCCCTCAGTTTTGTTAACTTGTAAAGACTCATGAACTATTACTAGTAACATTAACTATTACTAACTTTAACGTCCTTTTTTAGGTAACTGTAGAGAACGTACCTTGTGGCAGCACTGGTGTAACTTGTGCCAAGTCTGTTATTGTCAACATCGACGGTGACATTATCAAGCTCATGAAGGACGGACAAGTAGAGACCAACGGAAAGACGTTCAACTGGCCTGGAATCTTCAGAGGCAAAAATCACGATGAGGGTACGTAAAACTTTGTTAATTTTGTTTTTAGTTCTTGCCTATTTTAGCCAGATTGTTATTTATTATTACCTTACTATGTAGTTTGGTCTTTGACTTAGTCGCGTAAAACAACACATTTTCCAGATATCATGATCGATGAGATCGGTTTCTTCATTATGGTGGCGTCTCCAATCGGTCTCAGGGTTATGTGGAACGGAGCTACTCACGTCCATATCAAGGTTATTAACCACTTTCTCTTTCTTTTAATAGGACCCAATTTTACAAATTGTGAATATGAATTGGTTTAATAACTACATAGTCAGTTTATAAACAAGTCAGAATAATTGAGCGATGAAGTAAAATCAAAACTAACATCGGAATTCACAGATCCAACCACAATGGCAAGGACAAGTGCGAGGTCTTTGCGGTAATTTCAACGGAAAACCTGGCGACGATTACCAGACTCCATCTGGAATCACCGTGTCATCCCCCTACGCATTCGGTATGTAGCACAATGTACAGTGTATTATATACATTTTATAACACATGTATAATGTATATTATACATCTGTTATGATATTTCATATTTATTGAATTTGATAAGTTAACATTCGCTTTATTTCCATCAAATACATAGCCATCAAATGTGAATATCACAGCAATTATTAGATATTATTGATTCAAAAGCTGATTTAAAAAAATCTTGATTTACACTAATGTCAGGTAACTCGTGGAAGGAAAGGCAGGATTGTCCCGATGCTGTATACAACCCAGAGGGACCTTGTTCTGTCCATGAAGTAAGAGCCGACTACGCTAAGACCATGTGCAGCATCCTTGCTGATGAGTCCATATTCGGAGCTTGTCACAGGTAAAGAGACATTTGGTTATTTTATTGCTTCTTAGATATCATGGGGATATCATTGAAATTGTCGAAAAACTAAAGAAAGATACTAACAGTAACCTAAATCAATAATATTCGTCACCGTCACCACATAAATAAATATACAAATGTATAAATGTATAAATGTATGAATGTACAAATGTATAAATGTACCACCTTAGGTTTGTACCTTATGAAGAGTACCAGGCAGCCTGTGAGTACGATGTCTGTGGTTGTGATATGGGTGGCGATTGTCTCTGTTATTGTGAAGCTATCTACGCTTACGTCAAGCTGTGTATGAACAACAATGTCGTCATCAACTGGAGAGTGAAGATGCCCGAATGCCGTAAGTGAAAATGTGTTCTTCAAAGCACGGTTACGTAGCATTAAGTCGAATGTTGACGGTAATGCTGTTTCATCTTTAAAGTTATTTCATTCTAAAACATTATAGTACCCAGTTACATCCCCATCTCAGTGCAAATTCCGTAAATGTGAGTAATGACGGGAACCTATTTCAGAGGTTATGTGCGAGTGGCCAAAGGAGTACATCCCCGCTGCACCCGCCTGTCACGACATCTGTGGAGAAAAGACTTGCAAAAACTACACAACCAACGAGGCTTTCGAGACTTGCGAGTGTCCTCCTGGCACAGTTCCTCCAGACTGTAAGGTCTTGGAGTGCTCTTGTAAGTATAAGTTGTTTGATTAAACAATTAATTAACTGCTTGTAAAATAATAAATATTTATATGGTGTAAATAGGATTATTTTTAATGGAAAAAAATTCAACACTCAACAACCATTAAATCGATTACCTTCTGATGCACCGCGTCCTACCACATCTTTATACTTATCTGTTTGTTTCAGCGTCCACTTCGACAACAAGTCCAACAACTCCAACCCCAACCACTTCATACTCAACGAGTTCAACTGAGAGTTATTCAACAAGCTCCACTGTGACCACGTCTTCTTCGTCTTCAACGTCGAGAATCACTACTACGCCGTCAACTTTCACACCAAGTAAATCAAATTCTTTGTTCTTGGTAGAGAGCCATTTTTCAAAGTACCAAATTGAACATTTTTTTCATGAACACATGCGACAAATATATTGAGTCCAATAGCAATAATATTAATTTGTCAACTCATTTCAGCATCAGTGACGTCGACTTCCAGTCCGACAACATCAAGTTCATCATACTCGACGTCCTCGCCAAGTACAACACCAACAGAATCCTCTACATCTCACACTTCCACAACATCAACCACCTCCACAAGCTCCACGTCAACAACATCAATGTCTTCAACCACTACACGAACTCCTACTCCATCGATTTCAACAACATCATCATCAACCACAACACCCTCTAGCTCGTCCAGTACAACAACTCCATCAAGCTCCTCGAGTACGACATCATCTTCAACAACAACCCCATCAAGTTCTTCAAGTACAACATCATCATCAACAACAACCCCATCAAGCTCATCTAGCACAACATCATCTTCAACAACTACACCTTCAAGCTCCTCAAGTACAACATCATCATCAACAACAACTCCATCAAGCTCCTCCAGCACAACAACACCTTCTAGCTCATCTAGCACTACATCATCATCAACAACAACACCATCAAGCTCCTCAAGTACAACAACGCCATCAAGCTCATCTAGCACAACATCATCATCAACAACAACTCCATCAAGCTCATCAAGCACAACAACACCATCGAGTTCATCAAGCACAACATCTTCATCTACAACAACCCCATCAAGCTCCTCTAGTACAACAACACCATCAAGCTCATCTAGCACAACATCATCATCAACAACTACACCTTCAAGCTCCTCAAGTACAACAACACCATCAAGTTCTTCAAGCACAACTTCGTCCTCTACAACTACACCTTCAAGCTCGTCTAGCACAACAACACCATCAAGCTCCTCCAGCACAACAACACCTTCTAGCTCATCTAGCACTACATCATCATCAACTACAACACCATCAAGCTCCTCAAGTACAACAACGCCATCAAGCTCATCTAGCACAACATCATCATCAACAACTACACCTTCAAGCTCTTCAAGTACAACATCGTCCTCAACTACAACCCCATCAAGCTCCTCCAGCACAACATCATCATCAACAACAACTCCATCAAGCTCATCAAGCACAACAACACCATCAAGTTCATCTAGTACAACTTCATCATCAACAACTACACCTTCAAGCTCCTCAAGTACAACATCATCATCAACAACAACCCCATCAAGCTCCTCCAGTACAACAACACCATCAAGTTCATCTAGCACAACATCATCATCAACAACAACCCCATCAAGCTCGTCAAGTACAACATCATCATCAACAACAACACCATCAAGCTCGTCAAGCACTACTTCATCTTCAACAACAACACCATCAAGCTCATCTTCAACAACAACCCCATCAAGCTCGTCAAGTACAACTTCATCTTCAACAACAACACCATCAAGCTCATCAAGTACAACTTCATCTTCAACAACAACCCCATCAAGCTCATCAAGTACAACTTCATCTTCGACAACAACACCATCAAGCTCATCGAGCACTACTTCATCTTCAACAACAACACCATCAAGCTCATCGAGCACAACGACCCCGTCAAGCTCATCGAGTACAACATCGTCCTCAACCACAACCCCATCAAGTTCGTCAAGTACAACAACCCCATCAAGCTCATCAAGTACAACTTCGTCTTCTACAACTACACCATCAAGCTCATCAAGCACAACAACCCCGTCAAGCTCATCGAGTACAACATCGTCCTCAACCACAACCCCATCGAGCTCATCGAGCACAACAACCCCATCAAGCTCATCGAGTACAACTTCGTCTTCTACAACTACACCATCAAGCACAACATCATCATCAACAACAACACCATCAAGCTCCTCCAGCACAACAACACCTTCTAGCTCATCTAGCACTACATCATCATCAACTACAACACCATCAAGCTCCTCCAGTACAACAACACCATCAAGCTCCTCAAGTACAACATCATCATCAACAACAACTCCATCAAGCTCATCAAGCACAACAACCCCATCAAGTTCATCAAGCACAACAACACCATCAAGTTCTTCAAGCACAACTTCATCCTCTACAACTACACCTTCAAGCTCGTCTAGCACAACAACACCTTCTAGCTCATCTAGCACTACATCATCATCAACTACAACACCATCAAGCTCCTCAAGTACAACAACACCATCAAGCTCATCTAGCACAACATCATCATCAACAACTACACCTTCAAGCTCTTCAAGTACAACATCGTCCTCAACTACAACCCCATCAAGCTCCTCCAGCACAACATCATCATCAACAACAACTCCATCAAGCTCATCAAGCACAACAACACCATCAAGTTCATCTAGTACAACTTCATCATCAACAACTACACCTTCAAGCTCCTCAAGTACAACATCATCATCAACAACAACCCCATCAAGCTCCTCCAGTACAACAACACCATCAAGTTCATCTAGCACAACATCATCATCAACAACAACCCCATCAAGCTCGTCAAGTACAACATCATCATCAACAACAACACCATCAAGCTCGTCAAGCACTACTTCATCTTCAACAACAACACCATCAAGCTCATCTTCAACAACAACCCCATCAAGCTCGTCAAGTACAACTTCATCTTCAACAACAACACCATCAAGCTCATCAAGTACAACTTCATCTTCAACAACAACCCCATCAAGCTCATCAAGTACAACTTCATCTTCGACAACAACACCATCAAGCTCATCGAGCACTACTTCATCTTCAACAACAACACCATCAAGCTCATCGAGCACAACGACCCCGTCAAGCTCATCGAGTACAACATCGTCCTCAACCACAACCCCATCAAGCTCATCAAGTACAACTTCGTCTTCTACAACTACACCATCAAGCTCATCAAGCACAACAACCCCGTCAAGCTCATCGAGTACAACATCGTCCTCAACCACAACCCCATCGAGCTCATCGAGCACAACAACCCCATCAAGCTCATCAAGTACAACTTCGTCTTCTACAACTACACCATCAAGCTCATCGAGCACAACAACCCCATCAAGCTCATCTAGTACAACATCGTCCTCGACCACAACTCCATCAAGCTCTTCAAGCACAACTTCATCGTCAACAACAACCCCATCAAGCTCTTCGAGTACCTCTTCATCTTCTATAACATCCACTCCTAATGAAACACCCACACCAACATCAACATCATCAACAAGTTCACCTAGTACAACACCAACAGAATCTTCTACATCTCAAACATCTACCACCTCAACAACATCAACAAGTTCTTCTTCCACCACTTCACAGTCTTCGACAACCACGAGAACACCAACACCTTCAATCTCAACAACATCGTCTAGCACATCGACATCATCTTCAACCACAACTCCATCAAGCTCTTCAAGCACAACAACCCCATCAAGTTCATCAAGTACAACATCATCCTCGACAACTACACCTTCAAGCTCATCAAGTACAACATCATCATCAACAACCACGCCATCAAGCTCCTCAAGCACAACAACACCTTCCAGTTCATCAAGTACAACTTCATCTTCAACAACAACTCCATCTAGCTCATCAAGCACAACAACTCCATCAAGCTCATCGAGCACAACAACTCCATCAAGCTCATCAAGCACAACAACACCTTCCAGTTCATCAAGTACAACTTCATCTTCAACAACAACTCCATCTAGCTCATCAAGCACAACAACCCCATCAAGCTCATCAAGCACAACATCATCCTCTACAACAACTCCATCAAGCTCTTCGAGCACAACAACCCCATCAAGCTCGTCAAGTACAACATCGTCTTCAACAACAACTCCATCAAGTTCATCGAGCACAACAACTCCATCAAGCTCATCAAGCACAACATCTTCTTCTACAACAACTCCATCGAGCTCATCGAGCACAACAACACCTTCAAGCTCATCAAGCACAACATCTTCTTCTACAACAACTCCATCGAGCTCATCGAGCACAACAACACCTTCAAGCTCATCAAGCACAACATCTTCATCTACAACAACTCCATCGAGCTCATCAAGCACAACCAGTTCGTCAACGACAACACCATCAAGCTCATCAAACACAACTAGTTCGTCAACGACAACTCCTTCAAGCTCATCAAGTACAACAACCCCGTCAAGCTCATCAAGCACAACAACCCCATCAAGCTCATCAAGCACAACATCGTCCTCTACAACAACTCCATCAAGCTCATCAAGCACAACATCGTCCTCAACCACAACTCCATCAAGCTCTTCGAGCACAACTACCCCATCAAGCTCATCAAGCACAACATCATCTTCAACAACAACACCATCAAGCTCATCAAGCACAACAACCCCGTCAAGCTCATCAAGCACAACATCGTCCTCTACAACAACTCCATCAAGCTCTTCGAGCACAACTACCCCATCAAGCTCATCAAGCACAACATCGTCTTCGACAACAACTCCATCCAGTTCATCGAGCACAACAACTCCATCAAGCTCATCAAGCACAACATCTTCCTCCACAACAACTCCATCAAGCTCATCGAGCACAACAACCCCATCAAGCTCATCTAGCACAACTTCATCTTCAACAACAACACCATCAAGCTCATCAAGCACCACATCGTCCTCTACAACAACTCCATCAAGCTCATCAAGCACAACATCGTCCTCAACCACAACTCCATCAAGCTCTTCGAGCACAACTACACCATCAAGTTCATCTAGCACAACATCTTCCTCCACAACAACCCCGTCAAGCTCATCGAGCACAACAACCCCATCAAGCTCATCTAGCACAACTTCATCTTCAACAACAACACCATCAAGCTCATCAAGCACCACATCGTCCTCTACAACATCTCCATCAAGCTCTTCGAGCACAACTACACCATCAAGCTCATCTAGCACAACATCTTCGTCAACAACAACTCCATCAAGCTCGTCAAGCACAACAACTCCATCAAGTTCATCAAGCACAACATCTTCCTCCACAACAACTCCATCAAGCTCATCGAGCACAACAACCCCATCAAGCTCATCAAGTACAACTTCATCGTCAACAACCACACCATCAAGCTCTTCAAGCACAACATCGTCCTCAACCACAACTCCATCAAGCTCTTCGAGCACAACAACCCCATCAAGCTCATCAAGCACAACTTCATCTTCAACAACAACTCCATCAAGCTCATCAAGCACAACAACCCCGTCAAGCTCATCAAGCACAACAACACCGTCAAGCTCATCAAGCACAACATCGTCCTCTACAACAACTCCATCAAGCTCATCAAGCACAACATCGTCCTCAACCACAACTCCATCAAGCTCTTCGAGCACAACTACCCCATCAAGCTCATCAAGCACAACATCTTCCTCTACAACAACTCCATCAAGCTCATCAAGCACAACAACCCCATCAAGCTCATCAAGCACAACTAGTTCGTCTACGACAACTCCATCAAGCTCATCAAGCACAACATCATCTTCAACAACAACACCATCAAGCTCATCAAGCACAACAACCCCGTCAAGCTCATCAAGCACAACATCATCTTCAACAACAACACCATCAAGCTCATCAAGCACAACAACCCCATCAAGCTCATCAAGTACAACTTCATCTTCAACAACCACACCATCAAGCTCTTCAAGCACAACATCGTCCTCAACCACAACTCCATCAAGCTCTTCGAGCACAACAACCCCATCAAGCTCATCAAGCACAACTACATCTTCAACAACAACACCATCAAGCTCATCAAGCACAACAACCCCGTCAAGCTCATCAAGCACAACATCGTCCTCTACAACAACTCCATCAAGCTCTTCGAGCACAACTACCCCATCAAGCTCATCAAGCACAACATCGTCTTCGACAACAACTCCATCCAGTTCATCGAGCACAACAACTCCATCAAGCTCATCAAGCACAACATCTTCCTCCACAACAACTCCATCAAGCTCATCGAGCACAACAACCCCATCAAGCTCATCTAGCACAACTTCATCTTCAACAACAACACCATCAAGCTCATCAAGCACCACATCGTCCTCTACAACAACTCCATCAAGCTCATCAAGCACAACATCGTCCTCAACCATAACTCCATCAAGCTCTTCGAGCACAACTACACCATCAAGCTCATCTAGCACAACATCTTCGTCAACAACAACTCCATCAAGCTCATCAAGCACAACATCATCCTCAACCACAACTCCATCAAGCTCTTCGAGCACAACTACACCATCAAGCTCATCTAGCACAACATCTTCGTCAACAACAACTCCATCAAGCTCGTCAAGCACAACAACTCCATCAAGTTCATCAAGCACAACATCGTCCTCAACCACAACTCCATCAAGCTCTTCGAGCACAACAACCCCATCAAGCTCATCAAGCACAACTTCTTCTTCAACAACAACACCATCAAGCTCATCAAGCACAACAACCCCGTCAAGCTCATCAAGCACAACAACCCCGTCAAGCTCATCAAGCACAACTTCATCTTCAACAACAACACCATCAAGCTCATCAAGCACAACAACCCCATCAAGCTCATCAAGTACAACTTCATCTTCAACAACCACACCATCAAGCTCTTCAAGCACAACATCGTCCTCAACCACAACTCCATCAAGCTCTTCGAGCACAACAACCCCATCAAGCTCATCAAGCACAACTTCATCTTCAACAACAACACCATCAAGCTCATCAAGCACAACAACCCCGTCAAGCTCATCAAGCACAACATCGTCCTCTACAACAACTCCATCAAGCTCATCAAGCACAACATCGTCCTCAACCACAACTCCATCAAGCTCTTCGAGCACAACTACCCCATCAAGCTCATCAAGCACAACATCTTCCTCTACAACAACTCCATCAAGCTCATCAAGCACAACAACCCCATCAAGCTCATCAAGCACAACTAGTTCGTCTACGACAACTCCATCAAGCTCATCAAGCACAACTACCCCATCAAGCTCATCAAGCACAACATCATCTTCAACAACAACACCATCAAGCTCATCAAGCACAACAACCCCGTCAAGCTCATCAAGCACAACCTCATCTTCAACAACAACACCATCAAGCTCATCAAGCACAACAACCCCATCAAGCTCATCAAGTACAACTTCATCTTCAACAACCACACCATCAAGTTCTTCAAGCACAACATCGTCCTCAACCACAACTCCATCAAGCTCTTCGAGCACAACAACCACATCAAGCTCATCAAGCACAACTTCATCTTCAACAACAACACCATCAAGCTCATCAAGCACAACAACCCCGTCAAGCTCATCAAGCACAACAACCCCATCAAGCTCATCAAGCACAACATCGTCCTCTACAACAACTCCATCAAGCTCATCAAGCACAACATCGTCCTCAACCACAACTCCATCAAGCTCTTCGAGCACAACTACCCCATCAAGCTCATCAAGCACAACATCTTCCTCTACAACAACTCCATCAAGGTCATCAAGCACAACAACCCCATCAAGCTCATCAAGCACAACTAGTTCGTCTACGACAACTCCATCAAGCTCATCAAGCACAACTACCCCATCAAGCTCATCAAGCACAACATCATCTTCAACAACAACACCATCAAGCTCATCAAGCACAACAACCCCGTCAAGCTCATCAAGCACAACATCGTCCTCTACAACAACTCCATCAAGCTCGTCGAGCACAACTACCCCATCAAGCTCATCAAGCACAACATCGTCTTCGACAACAACTCCATCCAGTTCATCGAGCACAACAACTCCATCTAGCTCATCAAGCACAACATCTTCCTCCACAACAACTCCATCAAGCTCATCGAGCACAACAACCCCATCAAGCTCATCTAGCACAACATCGTCCTCTACAACAACTCCATCAAGCTCATCAAGCACAACATCGTCCTCAACCACAACTCCATCAAGCTCTTCGAGCACAACTACCCCATCAAGCTCATCAAGCACAACATCGTCCTCTACAACAACTCCGTCAAGCTCATCAAGCACAACTAGTTCGTCTACGACAACTCCATCAAGCTCATCAAGCACAACAACCCCTTCAAGCTCATCAAGCACAACTTCATCGTCAACAACAACTCCATCCAGTTCATCGAGCACAACAACTCCGTCAAGCTCATCAAGCACAACAACTCCTTCAAGCTCATCAAGTACAACTTCATCTTCAACAACCACACCATCAAGCTCTTCAAGCACAACAACACCTTCCAGTTCATCAAGTACAACTTCATCTTCAACAACAACTCCATCTAGCTCATCGAGCACAACAACTCCGTCAAGCTCATCAAGCACAACAACTCCGTCAAGCTCATCAAGCACAACATCGTCCTCTACAACAACTCCATCAAGCTCATCAAGCACAACATCCTCCTCAACAACAACTCCATCAAGCTCTTCGAGCACAACTACCCCATCAAGCTCATCAAGCACAACATCTTCCTCTACAACAACGCCATCAAGCTCATCAAGCACAACAACCCCATCAAGCTCATCAAGCACAACTAGTTCGTCTACGACAACTCCATCAAGCTCATCAAGCACAACAACTCCATCAAGCTCATCAAGCACAACAACTCCGTCAAGCTCATCTAGCACAACATCGTCCTCTACAACAACTCCATCAAGCTCATCAAGCACAACAACTCCGTCAAGCTCATCAAGCACAACATCGTCCTCTACAACAACTCCATCAAGCTCATCAAGCACAACATCCTCCTCAACAACAACTCCATCAAGCTCTTCGAGCACAACTACCCCATCAAGCTCATCAAGCACAACATCTTCCTCAACCACAACTCCATCAAGCTCATCAAGTACAACAACTCCATCAAGCTCATCAAGCACAACTAGTTCGTCTACGACAACTCCATCCAGTTCATCGAGCACAACAACTCCGTCAAGCTCATCAAGCACAACTTCGTCTTCAACAACCACACCATCAAGCTCTTCAAGCACAACATCGTCCTCAACCACAACTCCATCAAGCTCTTCGAGCACAACAACCCTATCAAGCTCATCAAGCACAACTTCGTCTTCAACCACAACCCCATCGAGCTCTTCGAGCACAACAACACCGTCAAGCTCATCAAGCACAACATCTTCCTCTACAACAACTCCATCAAGCTCTTCGAGCACAACAACCCCATCAAGCTCATCAAGTACAACTTCATCTTCAACAACCACACCAACAAGCTCTTCAAGCACAACATCGTCCTCAACCACAACTCCATCAAGCTCTTCGAGCACAACAACCCCATCAAGCTCATCAAGCACAACATCCTCCTCAACAACAACTCCATCAAGTTCTTCGAGCACAACTACCCCATCAAGCTCATCAAGCACAACATCTTCCTCAACCACAACTCCATCAAGCTCTTCGAGCACAACTACCCCATCAAGCTCATCAAGCACAACATCTTCCTCTACAACAACTCCATCAAGCTCATCAAGCACAACAACCCCATCAAGCTCATCAAGCACAACTAGTTCGTCTACGACAACTCCATCAAGCTCATCAAGCACAACAACCCCATCAAGCTCATCAAGCACTACATCTTCTTCAACAACAACTCCATCCAGTTCATCGAGCACAACAACTCCGTCAAGCTCTTCAAGCACAACAACTCCATCGAGTTCATCAAGCACAACATCGTCCTCTACAACAACTCCATCGAGTTCATCAAGCACAACATCGTCCTCTACAACAACTCCATCAAGCTCATCAAGTACAACTTCTTCTTCAACTACCACGCCATCAAGTTCTTCAAGCACTTCTTTATCTTCAATAACATCGACTCCTAATGAAACACCAACACCAACGTCGACTTCATCAACATCGTCACCTAGTACAACTCCAACAGAGTCGACTACATCTCAAACTTCAACCACATCATCAACATCAACCAGTTCTACTTCCACTACGTCACAGTCTTCAACAACTTCTAGAACACCAACACCTTCAGTGTCAACATCATCAACTTCATCTCCATCTAGCTCATCTAGCACAACATCATCTTCAACAACAACACCTTCGAGCTCCTCAAGTACAACTACACCATCCAGTTCATCAAGCACAACTTCTTCTTCTTCGACAACAACACCTTCGAGCTCCTCAAGTACAACAACACCATCTAGTTCTTCAAGCACAACCTCTTCATCAACTACCACACCATCAAGCTCGTCTTCAACTACTTCATCATCTACTACAACTCCTTCAAGCTCATCTAGCACAACTTCATCATCGACAACAACTCCATCCAGTTCATCAAGCACCACATCATCTTCAACAACAACACCATCTAGCTCCTCAAGCACAACAACACCATCTAGTTCTTCAAGTACAACCTCTTCATCAACTACTTCACCATCAAGCTCGTCTTCAACTACTTCATCATCTACTACAACTCCTTCAAGTTCATCTAGCACAACCTCATCATCGACAACAACTCCATCCAGTTCATCAAGCACAACATCATCTTCAACAACAACACCATCAAGCTCCTCAAGTACAACAACTCCATCAAGCTCTTCAAGCACAACAACACCATCTAGTTCTTCAAGCACAACCTCTTCATCAACTACCACACCATCAAGCTCGTCTTCAACTACCTCATCATCTACTACAACTCCTTCAAGTTCATCTAGCACAACTTCATCATCGACAACAACTCCATCCAGTTCATCAAGCACAACGTCATCTTCAACAACAACACCTTCAAGCTCCTCAAGTACAACAACCCCATCCAGTTCATCAAGCACAACTTCTTCCTCGACAACAACACCTTCGAGCTCATCAAGCACAACATCATCTTCAACAACAACACCATCAAGCTCCTCAAGTACAACAACACCATCCAGTTCGTCAAGTACATCCTATTCATCAACTACCACACCATCAAGCTCGTCTTCAACTACTTCATCATCTACTACAACTCCTTCAAGTTCATCTAGCACAACTTCATCATCGACAACAACTCCATCCAGTTCATCAAGCACCACATCATCTTCAACAACAACACCATCAAGCTCCTCAAGTACAACAACTCCATCAAGCTCCTCAAGCACAACAACACCATCTAGTTCTTCAAGCACAACCTCTTCATCAACTACCACACCATCAAGCTCGTCTTCAACTACTTCATCATCTACTACAACTCCTTCAAGTTCATCTAGCACAACCTCATCATCGACAACAACACCTTCGAGCTCATCAAGCACCACATCATCTTCAACAACAACACCATCAAGCTCCTCAAGTACAACAACACCATCTAGCTCATCAAGCACCACATCGTCATCTACAACAACTCCATCAAGCTCATCAAGCACAACATCATCTTCAACAACAACACCATCGAGCTCATCAAGCACAACTAGTTCTTCAACGACAACTCCATCAAGTTCATCGAGCACAACTTCCTCATCTACAACAACACCATCAAGCTCATCAAGTACAACATCACCTAGTACAACTCCAACAGAGTCGACTACATCTCAAACTTCAACCACATCTTCAACATCAACCAGTTCTACTTCAACTACATCACAGTCCTCAACAACCTCGAGGACACCAACACCTTCAGTCTCAACATCTTCAACTACAACACCATCAAGCTCATCAAGCACAACATCGTCATCAACTACAACACCTTCAAGCTCATCTTCAACAACATCATCATCAACAACGACACCGTCAAGTTCTTCAAGTACTACAACACCTTCTAGTTCATCCTCAACAACTTCATCGTCAACAACAACTCCCTCAAGCTCATCAAGCACAACCTCATCTTCAACAACAACACCATCAAGTTCCTCAAGTACAACAACACCATCCAGTTCGTCAAGCACAACCTCTTCATCAACTACCACACCATCAAGCTCGTCTTCAACTACTTCATCATCTACTACAACTCCTTCAAGTTCATCTAGCACAACTTCATCATCGACAACAACTCCATCCAGTTCATCAAGCACAACGTCATCTTCAACAACAACACCTTCAAGTTCCTCAAGTACAACAACACCATCAAGCTCATCAAGCACAACATCGTCATCAACTACAACACCTTCAAGCTCATCTTCAACTACATCATCATCAACAACGACACCATCAAGTTCTTCAAGTACTACAACACCTTCTAGTTCATCCTCAACAACTTCATCGTCAACAACAACTCCTTCAAGCTCATCAAGCACAACGTCATCTTCAACAACAACACCTTCAAGTTCCTCAAGTACAACAACCCCATCCAGTTCTTCGAGCACAACTTCTTCCTCAACAACAACACCTTCGAGCTCATCAAGCACAACATCATCTTCAACAACAACACCTTCAAGTTCTTCAAGTACAACAACACCATCAAGCTCATCAAGCACAACATCGTCATCAACTACAACACCTTCAAGCTCATCTTCAACTACATCATCATCAACAACGACACCATCAAGTTCTTCAAGTACTACAACACCTTCTAGTTCATCCTCAACAACTTCATCGTCAACAACAACTCCTTCAAGCTCATCAAGCACAACGTCATCTTCAACAACAACACCATCAAGCTCGTCAAGTACAACAACCCCATCAAGCTCTTCAAGCACAACTTCATCTTCAACTACCACACCATCAAGCTCGTCTTCGACTACTTCATCATCTACTACAACTCCTTCAAGCTCATCTAGCACAACTTCATCATCGACAACAACTCCATCCAGTTCATCAAGCACCACATCATCTTCAACAACAACACCATCAAGCTCCTCGAGCACAACAACACCATCCAGTTCGTCAAGTACAACCTCTTCATCAACTACTACACCATCAAGCTCGTCTTCAACTACTTCATCATCTACTACAACTCCTTCAAGTTCATCTAGCACAACCTCATCATCGACAACAACTCCATCCAGTTCATCAAGCACAACATCATCTTCAACAACAACACCATCAAGCTCCTCAAGTACAACAACTCCATCAAGCTCTTCAAGCACAACAACACCATCTAGTTCTTCAAGCACAACCTCTTCATCAACTACCACACCATCAAGCTCGTCTTCAACTACCTCATCATCTACTACAACTCCTTCAAGTTCATCTAGCACAACTTCATCATCGACAACAACTCCATCCAGTTCATCAAGCACAACGTCATCTTCAACAACAACACCGTCAAGCTCCTCAAGTACAACAACCCCATCCAGTTCATCAAGCACAACTTCTTCCTCGACAACAACACCTTCGAGCTCATCAAGCACAACATCATCTTCAACAACAACACCATCAAGCTCCTCAAGTACAACAACACCATCCAGTTCGTCAAGTACAACCTCTTCATCAACTACCACACCATCAAGCTCGTCTTCAACTACTTCATCATCTACTACAACTCCTTCAAGTTCATCAAGCACCACATCATCTTCAACAACAACACCATCAAGCTCCTCAAGTACAACAACTCCATCAAGCTCCTCAAGCACAACAACACCATCTAGTTCTTCAAGCACAACCTCTTCATCAACTACCACACCATCAAGCTCGTCTTCAACTACTTCATCATCTACAACAACTCCATCCAGTTCATCAAGCACAACATCATCATCGACAACAACACCTTCGAGCTCATCAAGCACCACCTCATCTTCAACAACAACACCATCAAGCTCTTCAAGTACAACAACACCATCTAGCTCATCAAGCACCACATCGTCATCTACAACAACTCCATCAAGCTCATCAAGCACAACCAGTTCTTCAACGACAACTCCATCAAGTTCATCAAGCACAACTTCCTCATCAACAACAACACCATCTAGCTCATCAAGCACAACATCACCTAGTACCACTCCAACAGAGTCGACTACATCTCAAACTTCAACCACATCTTCAACATCAACCAGTTCTACTTCAACTACATCACAGTCCTCAACAACCTCGAGGACACCAACACCTTCAGTCTCAACATCTTCAACTACAACACCATCAAGCTCATCAAGCACAACATCGTCATCAACTACAACACCTTCAAGCTCATCTTCAACAACATCATCATCAACAACGACACCGTCAAGTTCTTCAAGTACTACAACACCTTCTAGTTCATCCTCAACAACTTCATCGTCAACAACAACTCCCTCAAGCTCATCAAGCACAACCTCATCTTCAACAACAACACCATCAAGTTCCTCAAGTACAACAACACCATCCAGTTCGTCAAGCACAACCTCTTCATCAACTACCACACCATCAAGCTCGTCTTCAACTACTTCATCATCTACTACAACTCCTTCAAGTTCATCTAGCACAACTTCATCATCGACAACAACTCCATCCAGTTCATCAAGCACAACGTCATCTTCAACAACAACACCTTCAAGTTCCTCAAGTACAACAACACCATCAAGCTCACCAAGCACAACATCGTCATCAACTACAACACCTTCAAGCTCATCTTCAACTACATCATCATCAACAACGACACCATCAAGTTCTTCAAGTACTACAACACCTTCTAGTTCATCCTCAACAACTTCATCGTCAACAACAACTCCTTCAAGCTCATCAAGCACAACCTCATCTTCAACAACAACACCTTCAAGTTCCTCAAGTACAACAACCCCATCCAGTTCTTCGAGCACAACTTCTTCCTCAACAACAACACCTTCGAGCTCATCAAGCACAACATCATCTTCAACAACAACACCATCAAGCTCCTCAAGTACAACAACACCATCCAGTTCGTCAAGTACAACCTCTTCATCAACTACTACACCATCAAGCTCGTCTTCAACGACTTCGTCATCTACTACCACTCCTTCAAGCTCTTCTAGCACAACCTCATCATCGACAACAACACCTTCGAGCTCATCTAGCACCACATCATCTTCAACAACAACACCATCAAGCTCCTCAAGCACAACAACACCATCTAGTTCTTCAAGCACAACCTCTTCATCAACTACCACACCATCAAGCTCGTCTTCAACTACTTCATCATCTACAACAACTCCATCTAGTTCATCAAGCACAACATCATCTTCAACAACTACACCTTCAAGCTCCTCAAGTACAACAACACCATCCAGTTCATCAAGTACAACCTCTTCATCAACTACCACACCATCAAGTTCATCTTCAACAACTTCATCATCTACTACAACTCCTTCAAGCTCATCTAGCACAACCTCATCATCGACAACAACACCTTCGAGCTCATCAAGCACCACCTCATCTTCAACAACAACACCATCAAGCTCTTCAAGTACAACAACACCATCTAGCTCATCAAGCACCACATTGTCATCTACAACAACTCCATCAAGCTCATCAAGCACAACCAGTTCTTCAACGACAACTCCATCAAGTTCATCAAGCACAACTTCCTCATCAACAACAACTCCATCTAGCTCATCAAGCACAACATCACCTAGTACCACTCCAACAGAGTCGACTACATCTCAAACTTCAACCACATCTTCAACATCAACCAGTTCTACTTCAACTACATCACAGTCCTCAACAACCTCGAGGACACCAACACCTTCAGTCTCCACATCATCAACAACAACACCATCAAGCTCTCTAGCCAACAACACCATCAAGCTCATCAAGCACCACTTCATCTTTCAACAACTACTCCTTCAAGCTCATCAAGTACAACTTCATCTTCAACAACAACACCATCAAGCTCTTTCGAGTACAACAACGCCATCAAGCTCATCAAGCACAACTTCATCTTCAACAACAACACCATCAAGCTCTTCGAGTACAACAACACCATCAAGTTCATCAAGCACAACTTCTCTTCAACAACAACACCATCAACATTTCCCGCCCCCGTCCGTTCATCGACAACCGTCATCTACGACACTCCTTCAAGTTCTCTAGCACAACACGCCATCAAGCACCAACACCTTCATCTCTCAGCACCCCCCCTCATAAATCACAACAACACCGGTACAAGTGCTACAACACAAAACCACCACTGTTACATTCAAGAACCTCTGATGAAATAACTTAAACCGATAAGCTGTTTCGAAACTACAAAGGCAATCTAGTTCATCAAAGCACATTGACTATCATTTTTCAACAACTACACCTAAAGTTCTCAAGTCAACCCAACAAATCCAGTTCTCAAGTAACCTCTTAATTCAACTACACACAACTCAAGGTCAATCTGCAACAATCTCCATCATTTTCACAACTTCCGTTCCAAGTATCCTAAAAAAGAATCCACAACCTCAAGGACACAATCCCCAGCACACGCAACACCCATCTTGGAAAAACCATAGACCTAGTACACAAACTAATTATGTAGAACAAGACATCGTAATTACACACCCTCCTCTAACTATGATCAAGCAAACGGAGTTTTTCGTCGACAACTCTTCAAGTTTTTTTAAGGACACAACGTATCGTACAACAAAACTCCATTTCTCAAGCACTGGAATCAAGCACAACATCATAGCACCCCTGTCACAAACAGATTACGACTACATCTCAAAACGTCAACCCAGGGTCTGTTCAACAATACGTTCACTTCAACTAAAATCACATTCTCAACATCCTCGATGGATTTAACCAACCACATTCGTTAAAACTTTATACTTTGAAACCAAATTTAAGCTTAAGCAAAAACAATGAAATCAGCCCAAACCTACGCTAGCATCAACTACCTTAAAAACAATGACAAATAAGAACTGTCAAGTATTCATACTCAGCTTGTGTTGTCTTTAAACCTTCATAGTAACAACAACTTTTAAGATCATTTAATTAAACGTCAATTCGTCAAGGAAGAAACCATCAAGCCCTCAATGTTACAAGGAATTAACGATGTCGAGGCGTAAGAAACACTCTGATGAAATCACACTTCACTTAAATTTTAGACACATCAAAGCTTGACTTCAAATTTCTTAATCTTACTACCAATCCTTTTAAGTTTTCTAGCACGGACTTCTCATCGACAACAAACCCATCAACTTAACGGAGTTCGAATTAAACCAAGCTCATCAAGCACAACCTCATCTTCAACAACAACACCATCGAGCTCATCTAGCACAACCAGTTCTTCAACGACAACTCCATCAAGTTCATCAAGCACAACTTCCTCTTCAACTACAACTCCTTCTAGTTCTTCTTCAACTACTTCCTCATCTACAACAACACCATCCAGCTCATCAAGCACATCATCACCTAGTACAACTCCAACTGAGTCGACTACATCTCAAAGTTCGACCACATCATCATCATCAACCAGTTCTACTTCAACTACATCACCGTCCTCAACAACATCAAGGACACCAACACCTTCAGTCTCCACATCATCAACAACAACACCATCAAGCTCTTCTAGCACAACAACACCATCAAGCTCATCAAGCACCACTTCATCTTCAACAACTACTCCTTCAAGCTCATCAAGTACAACTTCATCTTCAACAACAACACCATCAAGCTCTTCGAGTACAACAACACCATCAAGTTCATCAAGCACAACTTCATCTTCAACAACAACACCATCAAGCTCTTCGAGTACAACAACACCATCAAGCTCATCAAGCACAACTTCATCATCAACAACAACACCATCAAGCTCTTCTAGCACAACAACACCATCAAGCTCATCAAGCACCACTTCATCTTCAACAACTACTCCTTCAAGCTCATCAAGTACAACTTCATCTTCAACAACAACACCATCAAGCTCTTCGAGTACAACAACACCATCAAGCTCATCAAGCACAACTTCATCTTCAACAACAACACCATCAAGCTCTTCTAGCACAACATCACCTAGTACAACTCCAACAGAGTCGACTACATCTCAAACTTCGACCACATCATCAACATCAACCAGTTCTACTTCAACTACATCACAGTCCTCCACAACCTCAAGGACACCAACACCTTCAGTCTCCACATCATCAACAACAACACCATCAAGCTCTTCTAGCACGACAACACCATCAAGCTCATCTAGCACCACCTCATCTTCAACAACTACTCCTTCAAGCTCATCAAGTACAACTTCATCTTCAACAACAACACCATCAAGCTCTTCGAGTACAACAACACCATCAAGCTCCTCGAGCACCACCTCATCTTCAACAACTACTCCTTCAAGCTCATCAAGTACCACTTCGTCGTCAACAACAACACCATCAAGCTCGTCGAGCACAACAACGCCATCCAGTTCATCAAGCACAACTTCATCTTCAACAACAACACCATCAAGCTCTTCCAGCACAACCACGCCATCCAGTTCATCAAGCACAACCAGTTCATCAACGACAACTCCGTCAAGTTCGTCTAGCACAACCACGCCATCAAGCTCCTCAAGCTCTTCATCTTCTACATCACCCCCACCTCATAAATGCGTATCACCTCTTGGCGGTGACAGAGTTGAGATTAGGACCAAAACCACCACTGTCTACATGGAAGATCCTTCTGATGAAGATAACTTTATAACCGATGAAGTTGTTGTCGGAAAGACAAAGGGATCTGGTGTCAAGGTCACATATGTCACAATTGACTATGATGACATTATTGGCAAACAAAATGACACGGTAAATGTTTATTAACTTGTCAATACCCGTAAAAAGTTTCCGATATTTTCAACTGGTAACTGATTAAAGGTTTAGTACTTGACAACAATTAATTTAGGTAATCTGAAATAATCACCATTATTTTTTCAGCATGACGTTTGGGTGTACGAATCCAATATCTTCTTGAAGATTAAAGAATCAACACAACCTGGCAAGGACTTCATTCCCCAAGTCACCGAAATTCACCCTCTTGGAAAACCGATAGAATCCATAGACACAACTAATTTGGTTGAGAACGAAGACATCGAGGTAATTATCACGACACCCTCCTCTAACTATTGATAAGTAAACTGGTGGAGATTAATTTTCGTCGATAATAGTTTAACTGGGTCTTTTGGTATTTGAGGACTGGAAAACGTAGGTAATTTAAAAGTCCATTTTCTTCAGGAAGCAACTGGAGAGTTCAAAGAAATCGAGACACTCCCCAAGAGTGATCGACGAACTTACACTGAATTTACCGACACCATTCAAAAATACGTCAATCCCAGTGGATCTGTGTTTAACAAGGTACGTTTACAGCAATAAATCAACTTTTTAAAAAGAATATTCTCTGAAAGTCTCGATGATTTAAGTCTTTATTACTGCTGTTTAATTTAGCCGTTATAAACTAATATTCTTAGGAGAACAATGGTATTGTATTGGTTAACAAATACACAGATGAAGGAGTCAGCCCTAACGATGACGGTGTAAGCATCAGGTACGCTTAAAAGAAATGAGGCAAAATAAGAAACATGTAATTTGTATGTCATACTGTCAGGTCTTGTGTTGTCTTTAAATCCTTACTATATACATTGAACGATACATTTTATGGGGTTGATTGATACTATTTTTAATTAATTTGTATTTTTGTCAGGTATTACGGTGTGGATGAGGAAGATGAAGATGCTCAGCCCCATATCGATGTCTGTTACAAGATTGTCGAAGTTAAGAGATGTGAAGAAGGCGAAGAAGAGGTTTGTGTTCACTCTGTGATGAAATCACAATCTTCCTTGTAATTTATAGGAAGTTTTCTGTGTAGCATTGAATAATGTTGACTCTTATTAATTTTCTTAAATTTATACTTAATACATAATCTAATTTTTTAGATTGTTATGGTCGTCGAGGATGTTGTCACCGTTGACAAGGCTAACCCTGATACCAACTATGAAGGAGATGATCTCGATATTGGAAAACCAGACGGTTCTACTGACAGCGAGAAGCGAGTAATCGTTAAATTCAATGTCGATTCATTTGATACAGGTTAGACAATCATACGTAGACTTCTAGTTATTTACATACATGTATATATTTAATTGTATTTATATATATGTTGATATGTATAGCCATATATATTTCAAGTTGATCAAAAGTCAAACTCAAAGAAAAGTAGTTAAATTACTTTCAACTTATATATTATGTGAGAACGAGATCATTAATGGTAATATTATCCGCAGAAAAATACGATTTGAAGGAAATCACAAGTGCCTGGATTCATGTGACCTTCAAAGATTTCGTAGAGAATGGAGGTAGAGATGAGGCATCAACGGAAAACAAAATAGTTGTAACAGTGGTAAGTACATTCTAATGTTAAAATGAATACAAATCCAATGGAACATTTAAATATGTGCAATGTTGGGACATAATAAAAATGTTTTAACATTATTTCAACTGTCCTCTTTGTATCGATACCTGAGAGCTCTGACTTAATCAAATAGTTTATAGAGTCAAATGTTTCTTAGTCCAGTAATTTAAGTTAACTGTTGATTATTTAGTAGTAGTATAACACTGGCTTGTTACAGCTGACCACATTGGAGGAAGGCACAGATTTGGATGAAAAGACAGCTACTTGGACTAACACTGGTATGGACAACGTGGATACTGACAATGCTGATGAGGTCGTCGGAACCGTCGTTATTCCTCAGGAACAACCAGGAACTACACCAGTTGTGGTAAGTGCGGTCTCTTCTTGAAACTTGTTTCAATGGAATGATTAAGTTATGTTCTCTAAGTACTAAGTAGAATATATGACATTTCCGTTCTGCGAAGAAGAAAAAAGCCGAGACTAATTAATAAACATCCTTAGATTACAATCACAGACTTTGACGTTGAGAAGATGATCACAGAATTCAAGGGTATTGTTCTTAGTGGGGTAGAAGAGAAAACATCCCCTCACCCAATACCTGAATTCTTCGGCAAAGGTAAAAATCAACGACCAGGCCTTCCAATGACCCGCCAAAACAACGATGTTCAGTTCTTGTGAAGCAGTATATTTTATCTATTCGGTGTTTCCAAATTTCCAGTGCCCGTTTATTATTTAACTTTCGTTGATTAATAACAAACTGATTTTTCAGGACAAGAAGTGTTCCCTAAGCCAGCTTTCCACGTTTGTGTACCAAAGATAATATCGACCACATCCAGTTCATCAAGCACAACCAGTTCATCAACGACAACTCCATCAAGTTCCTCTAGCACAACCACGCCATCAAGCTCATCAAGCACAACAACCCCATCAAGTTCGTCTAGCACAACCACGCCATCAAGTTCCTCAAGCTCTACAACAACACCCCCACCTCATAAATGCGTATCACCTCTTGGCGGTGACAGGGTTGAGATTAGGACCAAAACCACCACTGTCTACATGGAAGATCCTTCTGATGAAGATAACTTGTCAACCGATGAAGTTGTTGTCGGAAAGACAAAGGGATCTGGTGTCAAGGTCACATATGTCACAATTGACTATGATGACATTATTGGCAAACAAAATGACACGGTAAATGTTTATTAACTTGTCAATACCCGTAAAAAGTTTCCGATATTTTCAACTGGTAACTGATTAAAGGTTGATACTTGACAACAATTAATTTAGGTAATCTGAAATAATCACCATTATTTTTTCAGCATGACGTTTGGGTGTACGAATCCAATATCTTCTTGAAGATTAAAGAATCAACACAACCTGGCAAGGACTTCATTCCCCAAGTCACCGAAATTCACCCTCTTGGAAAACCGATAGAATCCATAGACACAACTAATTTGGTTGAGAACGAAGACATCGAGGTAATTATCACGACACCCTCCTCTAACCTCTTGATAAGTAAACTGGTGGAGATTAGTTTTCGGTCGATAATAGTTTAACCGGATCTTTTGGTATTTGAGGACTGGAAAACGTATGTTATTTAAAAGTCTATTTTCTTCAGGAAGCAACTGGAGAGTTCAAAGAAATCAAGAAACTCCCCAAGAGTGATCGACGAACTTACACTGAATTCACCGAAACCATTCAAAAATACGTCAATCCCAGTGGATCTGTGTTTAACAAGGTACGTTGACAGCAATAAATCAACTTTTTAAAAAGAACATTCACTGAAAGTCTCGATGATTTAAGTCTTTATTACTGCTGTTTAATTTAGCCGTTATAAACTAATATTCTTAGGAGAACAATGGTATTGTATTGGTTAACAAATACACAGATGAAGGAGTCAGCCCTAACGATGACGGTGTAAGCATCAGGTACGCTTAAAAGAAATGAGGCAAAATAAGAAACATGTAATTTGTATGTCATACTGTCAGGTCTTGTGTTGTCTTTAAATCCTTACTATATATACATTGAACGATACATTTTATGGGGTTGATTGATACTATTTTTAATTAATTTGTATTTTTGTCAGGTATTACGGTGTGGATGAGGAAGATGAAGATGCTCAGCCCCATATCGATGTCTGTTACAAGATTGTCGAAGTTAAGAGATGTGAAGAAGGCGAAGAAGAGGTTTGTGTTCACTCCGTGACGAAATCACAATCTTCCTTGTAATTTATAGGAAGTTTTCTGTGTAGCATTGAATAATGTTGACTCTTATTAATTTTCTTAAATTTATACTTAATACATTATCTAATTTTTTAGATTGTTATGGTCGTCGAGGATGTTGTCACCGTTGACAAGGCTAACCCTGATACCAACTATGAAGGAGATGATCTCGATATTGGAAAACCAGACGGTTCTACTGACAGCGAGAAGCGAGTAATCGTTAAATTCAATGTCGATTCATTTGATACAGGTTAGACAATAATACCTAGACTTCTAGTTATTTACATACATGTATGTATTTTATTATATTTATATATATGTTGATATGTATAGCTTTATATATTTGAAGTTGATCAAAAGTCAAACTCAAAGAAAAGTAGTTAAATTACTTTCAACTTATATATTATGTGAGAACGAGATCATTAATGGTAATATTATCCGCAGAAAAATACGAATTGAAGGATATCACAAGTGCCTGGATTCATGTGACCTTCAAAGATTTCGTAGAGAATGGAGGTAGAGATGAGGCATCAACGGAAAACAAAATAGTTGTAACAGTGGTAAGTACATTCTAATGTTAATATGAATACAAATCCAATGGAACATTTAAATATGTGCAATGTTGGGACATAATGAAATTTTTTTAACATTATTTCAACTGTCCTCTTTGTATCGATACCTGAGAGCTCTGACTCAATCAAATAGTTTATACAGTCAAATATTTCTTCGTCCAGTAATTTAAGTTAACTGTTGACTATTTAGTACTTTAGTAGTAGTATAACACTGGCCTGTTACAGCTGACCACATTGGAGGAAGGCACAGATTTGGATGAAAAGACAGCTACTTGGACTAACACTGGTATGGACAACGTGGATACTGACAATGCTGATGAGGTCGTCGGAACCGTCGTTATTCCTCAGAAACAACCAGGAACTACACCAGTTGTGGTAAGTGCGGTCTCCTCTTGAAGCTTAATTAGTTTAAATGAAATGATTAAGTTAAATTGAATTTTCCGTTCTGCGAAGAAGAAAAAAGCTGAGACTAATTAATAAACATCCTTAGATTACAATCACAGACTTTGACGTTGAGAAGATGATCACAGAATTCAAGGGTATTGTTCTTACTGGGGTAGAAGAGAAAACATCCCCTCACTCAATACCTGAATTCTTTGGCAAAGGTAAAAATCAACGACCAGGCCTTCCAATGACCCGCCAAAACAACGATGTTCAGTTCTTGTGAAGCAGTATATTTTATCTATTCGGCGTTTCCAAATGTCCATTGCCCGTTTATTATTTAACTTTTGTTGATTAATAACAAATTGATTTTTCAGGACAAGAAGTGTTCCCTAAGCCAGCTCTTCACGTTTGTGTACCAAAGATAATATCAACCACATCCACGGCCACACCAACACAGACACATACCCCGACCTTCACCACTGCCAGTACCACGCCTACTGAACCTCCAATTATCACCAATTGTACCATCCCCAATGGTATGTTCTCCTTCGATCTGGTGACACTTTCATTTTCTGATGTGAATAATGTCTATATGTTAAAGTTTCATAGAATTATCTGGCCTTTTGATGTTCTTGACAGCGATAAATGTGTTTAAAGTTTAAAGTTTGGTATTTTTAGGTGGAGGCAGGATTGTTATCGATCTAAAGGACTACATCGTTATCCAAGAAGAACCAATGTCTCCAGAAAACGCTAACTACATCCAGATCGGTCAGACTAAGGATAAGGGCGAGAAAGTAATCCTCGTCTACTTTGATCTTAAGAAGGCTGTTGAGGAGGGTGTGATTGAGCAGTTCGGAGAGCCTCCAAGTGAAGGACAGGAGAAATGGGACATTGCTGTTACTGACTCTAGGATGAACTTCAGGTTAGAATATAGGGTATCTAACATTGACACTCAGTTTATCGCAATAATTTAAACGAAAAATTCTTACCACGATAAAGTATTTATCCCGTATTATTAAAACTTACCAATGCAATATTCAGGTTCACTCCAGTGGATCTCGGAAATGATGACGTATGGGAAGCAGGTCGACCTGAACTTTACCCACTAAAGAAGCTTTTGGACGAAGATTCTTCATGGGACTTCCCATGGATCGGTAAGAGTAATTTTCATATTTCCGTTATTTTTATTTTTAAACTACTAAACTACTTTGGTAAAGTAAAGGTTTTTCAGCCGCGTAATGTAGCAAAATCGGGTCAATTAGGAAAAAAACCAACTAATTTTCTCAAATTTGTTCTCGAATCTAAATGATATGTTATGTTTATGATTTCTCAGAGGGAGACAATGGACCAGCAGCTGGTGTTGATTACATCAGTACCGTCTCCGCTCAATTCACCCATCTGAAGAAGAACCCTGAAACCGGAAGATGGATCCAGGCTATTAGCACCACTATCGCCCGATACATCTTCACCGAGCTCGACGACATCAGGATGAAGAACAACGGATTCTTAATGAGATACGTGACGGATTCTGGTAAACCTGCCACTCACTTCATGTCCTTCGACTCTCCAGCTCTTGAAGATCCCGAGTTCAGACCTTTCATGGACATCTGTTACATTCCATGTTAGTTGTTTTGAGAGTCGTTTCATCGCTTCACGTTCATTCACAATGATTTTGAATATCATGAATCATAATCTTAATGGATATGTTTTATGAGTCGAAAGTTACTGTTAATTATAAATCATTACATCGTTTCCCCCAGCTGAGAGACCAGTTGCTTGTGAAGATGGATACCTGGTCCGATACGACCTTAACGCCGATACCTACATCGCAAGGGACCATCTTGTTCACGGAGCAGAGGAACATCTCTTTGTTGGAAATTCAGGATGGGCTGGCAAATCAAGAGCTCTCGTTGACTTCGATATCACCACCTTCAACACTGACCTCACAGGTAACTGGAAATATCATGTGATTAACTATACCACCAATGTATACTTCCACCAATGGTAGTAGTATACACTGTATACTACTATTGTGAATGGCACATTTGAATTGTACATGGATGATTATTGTACCTACTGAATGTAGCGCTTATCTTGGAATAGATTAGCAATGCTGGTGGTTATATCCCGTTAAAGGATGAGGGGACCTTAGAAAAAGTTTTTTTCTCGTGCAAATCCTTTTATTACATTAATCGTATAAACCACTTTAGTGAAATCCGCAAAGTTGTATTTCATTCGCGCGCCGAGATATCCAGCCAAAACAATTTGAACCTGTGACGTCAATTATGTGAGTTGCTCTGATCCGCGCATATAGAAATACAGGTAAAATGAGCGTGCGGGCCGACTAAATTACTAATTAAGAATAAATTAACAATTTACGATACTAACGAGCCTATAACCAATGGAGAGGAGACTTTTTATGACCGGTTGAAAAAAGAATTATCACCCTACGATAACCATGAGCCGAGATACACCTGGAATAAGATTGAAGTCACACAGAAAGGCATGTAAATTATGTATATTTATAGCTCCCAACGTAACACCTAGCAACTCCCTGTTTCGTACCACAGTTGATATATCAACATGTCATATCAACACAACACGGTCCTAATAAAAATGGATCGGGTAGGTATGAAATGCATGTCTTCATTCCAGTTGGACAAGCACCAAGCACCAAGCTATTAAGTTCTAACTCACTATGTGACACTACTTATAACGTAAGCAAGATTTGCAACTATTACACCAAGCAATATTATACCAAGCATAGCAGACGAACACATCCACATTCGTTACGCTTTACACTCAAGTCACAGCAAACTAAAACGGTAAATTATAAATGAGTGTACAACTAAAGGCCGGTACACGCGCAGTGTCAAACCGCACGTGCGTACTCAGATAGGACTAGAGGCGCCAAGGGCCAGCTAGTTAAATGTCTTCTACTACTTGTACATCATACATTCTTTTTAATTGTGTCCATATCGGGTTTCAAACAAGTCAAAACAAAATAGCAGTTTGTGGTTTAGTTAGCGGATGCTACTTATCTTAGCTCTAGCTATTTATAAATAGAAATACCTACTACAACTACAAGAAAGCCTTTCTGAGTTACATTTAACTATTATTATTAAAGAGAATTATTCGTAACTTAGACTAATTCAGTGCAACCAAAGATACCGCTCTCGCAAACGCCAAAGGTAACACGACGTAATTAAAACAGAACAGAACAAAATGTTGACACGAGCAAAGGGTGCGCGCGCACGTTGGTCTTAACACATAAGTGACGTCACAGCCAAAAATTGCTATCAGCCAATACTAGCGCGGCGTGATATTGCACGAATTATCGATTTCACAGTCCGACGTATTTTTTGAATCTACACACTTTCACAGGACTTAAACGCGAATATTTTGAAGTAAATTCTAAGGTCCCCTCATCCTTTAATATTTCACCAATTGCAGCTCTCTTCGATGATGCTGAGTCAGTTTACTTGAGACTTTGGTACGAAGGAGCAGAGCTCGCCAAACCTTACAATGATCCACGACAGATGGAACGTAAACTCGCTGCCCACAAGGTACAGCATTAATGACGATTGACGACTATTCCGTTATTTTGGATTAAACACACAATTTTGACCTCCTGCTGAAAGTAGTTGGGAAATTTGCATATTTATATTCGCATATTATTAGGTATGTAGGTATGTAAGTATGTATATTATTAGGTATGTAGGTATGTATATTATTAGGTATGTAGGTTTGTATATTATTAGGTATGTAGGTATGTATATCATTATGTATGGTTAACTAATGATTGACCTTCTCAGATTGTGAAGACTTGGAACGAGGCCTCTGCCACGAGCAAGATAGCGTCTCAATCTGGAGACAGCAAGAACAGGTGGGAAGAAGAAATGATGGGAGAGCTGAATGACTACGATCCAGAGGTTATCGCTACTGATATCATCTCTGAGGGAGAAGATCAGCACAATATCTACGTAAGTATCTGATATAGCACAATATCTACGTAAGTATCTGATATAGCACAATATCTACGTAAGTATCTGATATTTTCTTCGGTTCTGCTCATTCTCGTTGATTAAAGTTGTGCTGCTTTTTATGATTCAGTGACAATATATATCTTTTGTTGATGGACTTCGTTACATTTCTAATGAGGCTGTTTTGTCTGTTAACTGACACTCTCAATCATCAGTTCAACGTCACAAGCGTTTTCAAAGAGTGGATGGAAGACAAATCAACAGATCACGGAATTCTTATCAAGGACAGCCAGCACGAATCAGTTCCTGGATACTTCCTGAAGTTTGCCTCTCTGAACCACAAAGATCCAACCATCAGACCTTACTTGATGGTCTGTCAGAAGAAACGTGAGTGCCCTGATTATAGTGCCCTGTAGTGCCCTGTAGTGCCCTGATTATATAGCTTAATACCAACAGTGGAGTACAGTAAAAGTCAGATTAAAACATGGCGTAAACCATGTGATAGTTGCAAATTTCTTTCATCTATATCTCGGAGTAGCTTTATTTGTTTACTAAATAACATGCCGACTAACTGCACCCCATCTCAGCTGCCTGTGTGCCAGAAGACTTGCCTCCACAGAAGATCTACAACCACGGTTGTGTCAGTACACAGAATGTAACTCTCAACTTCTGCGAGGCTAAGAACGGTGCCTGTTCAGCATCTGACGGCAGTGCGGTGGACTATGATTACTTCACGGGAGTCAGTGCTCTTTGGGATGACTTCCACGTGGTAAGTTATTTAAATGCTATTAAACATCTTTTATAATATTAGATGAGAACGTCAAAAATTCAAGGTTTTGATTTTCCTTTTTATTTTACTGTCGTTGAAATTAATCTATGACCATGACATTTAATCGCCGATATTTCATCTTATTTTGAATTTATCTAACAATTCTTATTCCAGCTGCGAACGTTCTGTAAGTGTTGCACAGATGCAGATGCTACCAAAATAATGGTACCGATGGACTGCGCAGATTCAACCAGTCAGACAGATTATGATGAAGAGGTTTGCTCAATTTCCCAGTTTTTTTAAATCAATAAACTTCCAAATTGTTTACACAAGTACATCATATTATTTCAAAGAAAATTCGCGGCCGAATGACCTTACATGCCTTGACAAGTGACCGAGTTATCATCGTTGAACTTCGTTATGTGTTGAGCAGATCTTTGCACAAAATAGAACTATTACAGAAGATTTACAGACAAAACTAATCTATGACTAGTCACAGAAAATGATTGTAATGGGAACGAAAAAACATGACTAATTTGAATATTCTTCAGGTTTGGTACATCACACAATGCGAATGTCAACGTTGTCAAACAGTATCAAAGGAAAGAAAGAAGAGAGCCACTCCTAGCAAGACCCGACTGCTACTCAGGTATTTGAACTATCTGAATTGTTTGAATTATTTAAATTATTTGGATTACATCTATAAGTCATTGATCGGCTATGTCAATTATTCGTCGAACCCGAATGTTTCTGTTGAATTATATATATATATATAGAATTATAGATAGCATAAAAGTTAAGATAATTGAGGATGGTAAAGTCTGATTATTTTGTTTCCTTAATTCTGACCTCCCTCATTTCAGGTCTGCTCTTAAATCCATGCTACGAAAGTAAACTCCCTTTAGAATGACCGTTGGGCCCTCCAAAAAGTCGCGTGAAACCTCTGACCTCTCTGATATGATGTGTTTTGTAAAAACTGACAATTTGCTTTTAGATTTGTTTTTAGACAATAAATATATTTATCATGAATAAAGTGTTATTTATGTTAAAGTTAAATAGATGTTTCATGCCTTTTTGATTGCAATGGTTCCTCTTGATAGGACTAATAAAAATTCGACCCCTTTATAATCACAGAGTTTTATTTCTTAGTGTTATCATGCCTACAAACTACCTTTAAACTACCTTTAAACTACCTATAAACTACCTACAAACTACCTATAAACTATCCATAAACTACCTATAAACTACCTATAAACTACCTACAAACTACCTTTAAACTACCTATAAACTACCTACAAACTACCTATAAACTATCTATAAACTACCTATAAACTACCTATAAACTGCCTACAAACTATCTATAAACTATCTATAAACTACCTATAAACTACCTATAAACTACCTATAAACTACATATAAACTACCTATAAACTATCTATAAACTATCTATAAACTATCTATAAACTACCTATAAACTACCTATAAACTATCTATAAACTATCTATGAACTACCTTTAAACTACATATCAAGTACCTATAAACTATCTATAAACTACCTATAAAGTAACTACCTATAAACTACCGATAAACTACCTATAAAATTCGATGAATTGACAAATTGGTAATACATTTTATTCAATGATTTACCTAATAATGCTATCACAATTCACAATCAATGTTGCTAGCATTGTGTAACACTAAGTCTCTAACCTGCATATATTTCTAATGTTACCTAACGACGTACGGCTTTAACACAGCCTAGTAATCCATGAGCTCGACTAATGAGCAACATGAGCTCCCCTCCGCACGCATTTCGTGAGGCTAATCCTTCGATGAGTGAGGTCGCTGTCTCGTACTCAGATCACAAACGTATATAGTATATTATGCACAATAATACGGTCGTACAAAATTCACATCAGGTTTTTAGAGAAATGTTTAAACTACGATATTTAAGGTAAAATGGGACCCTAAAATACCAGTCTTAATCTTCAATTAGACATAATTCACTAGCTGAAGTAGGTCTGATACGTCCGAGTATAACCTGTAAGACTGGCCTCCAGCTCGCCATTTTTGAGATTCATGCAAATCGAGGACATTCGAATGGTGTAGGACTAGGATGTTCAGCTCGACAAAGTACTGGTGGAAAATATTTCGTAGGTCCTAAAAAGCTAAAATGACTCCTCCAGATTCAGTCTTAACCTTCAATTAGACATAACTCAATGACCCCCCCCCCCCCCCCCGACAATTGACCTCCCGACAATTGACCCCCCGACCCTAACCCTAACCCTAACTCTAACCATAACCCTAACCCTAACTCTAACCCTAACCCTAACCCTAACCTTAACCCTAACCAATTGTCGTACTAAGCCCTAGATTTCGCGACAATTGACCCCAGTGTAATTACATAGGGGGTCAGTTGTCGGGGGGTCAATTGTCGTACTAAGCCCTGTTTGTTTGGGGACCGGTTTTTTGGTACACCGGCCAATGTTTACAAAATCATATGATACATAACAATATAATTGTATTTAATATACGTGAATATTAGAATAGAAATGAAATCTTAAATTTCTATTTATTCCCTGAAATTGCTACTAAGTTCAATATAAATTTATTACTTAGATTTCGCGACAATTGACCCCAGTTTAATTACATAGGGGGTCAGTTGTCGGGGGGGGGGGGTCGATTGTCGTACTAAGCCCTAGATTTCGCGACAATTGACCCCAGTGTAATTGCATAGGGGGTCAGTTGTCGGGGGGGGCAATTGTCGTACTAAGCCCTAAATTTCGCGACAATTGTCGCGGTACCAACTCAATTAGTTAATAGTAGCATGGGAAGCGCCCGTCGTAGTACACGAAGACCCATCACCCATGGTTAGGTGAACACTGACAACTGAACCCGTTTCTCCAAGTCACCTCTGACCTCGCCATATTTTCGATCGATATGTGTTTAGAAATTTAGAAATGCATAAATTGAAGTCTTTATTAACAAATCATGTTAATGTTATATAATACTAATAGTCATAGACACATAACGTCATACTAATACCATGGTTGGTTGGGCTTGGTTGCCTCGTGGCTTGTATGTTTATAATCTACCAAGAGTCAAGACGCGCGCCGAGTTTAGTAGTTGGACTCGTCGACGGTCTTGTATTTGGATTGGTTGACGAGATCGTCGAGATCGTTGCTCTGCTTCGCAGAGCAACGATCGACGCAGTTGCAAGAAGCAAGAATGCTAGTTCGCGCGGCGCGTCGAAGCGGCAAAGTCCTCCAAGTATTTGGAACAAATATTTTACGAGTATCACCCGTTAACCATTAACTCGTGGCTGGATATGTTAAATTCGAATTAATTGATAACAAGTAAATATCGCTTGCAAGCATTATAATTGAATCACAGTTCATCGCGGCTTTTACTAATTCGCTCGCCTTAAAATTAACATTACCATAGAAGCTATCCAGAATTAGAACCCTTACCACAACCCTACCCAGAAAACCTTACCGCCTAGCGGTGTTACTAGAGGTGATCTTTTTCCAATAGCTTGTATGTATTCGGCGCGCGCGACGTTAAGTTCTTTCATTGCATGCATGAGCACGCTGATTCCAGGCAAATAGTCATGACGAGGAGCATTTATTTGCAAAATTACAAAAACTGCGACTCTGTTTTCGGCTCGAAATCATACTTTTTGGTTTAACTCAGAATCTAGAATTTAGGTTGTCCTTAACGGGTGATACTCGTAAAATATCTGTTCCAACTCGGCGCGAGTCCTGGTAGGTTGTAAACCTACAACTCTCCTCTCCTCTCCCTCCCCTCCCCTCCCATCTCCTCCCTCCAACTTCCATATGCCTTCTTGATCTTCTGTAGCTGAACTCTGAACTCTGAACTCTGATCGGCTCACCCAGTAAACCTTACCGCCTAGCAGTGTTACTAGAGGTGATCTTTTTCCAATAGCTTGTATGTCGGCGCGCGCGACGTTAAGTTCTTTCATTGCATGCATGAGCACGCTGATTCCAGGCAAGTAGTCATGACGACGAGCATTTATTTGCAAAGTTACAAAACTGCGACTCTGTTTTCGGCTCGAAATCATACTTTTTGGTTTAACTCAGAATCTAGGTTATCCCAAATTTTGCTCCTGGAGAGCTAACTTTAGAATTTCAAGACGAACATTTTGTTGAAAACCGGAAGGTTCTATTTCTTTTACTTTCGGAGATAGCTCCCTGCCGGTAGACTTTCCTACCGGCAGGTAATATTACTATTAGGCCTAGTATAGGCCTAACCCTAACCCGATCCGAGCCCTAAACAATCGAATTCGTGTTTTTACTAGCCTTCAGGGAAGCATTTTTACCCTACGTCATGGAGGTGATTCAGAACCAACGTCCAAAAATACACCGATGTAAATTAATTTCCTACCTAAAGGGCCTTTTTACAAGAATTTTCTTAAAATTTGGGCGAGCGATTAAGCTAAGGCTGTTACGAGCAAATATTTTAATTGATTCACGATGTCAATCCTTCGCATCTCGCCGATCTGCATACGTGGTTGCGAGAAGCATTATTGGATGCGCGCGCGACCCAGTAGTGCATCGCGCTACAAATATTTTAACATACGTTGCATGCCACTTTTCGCGCGCGAAGCGCGAAAAGTGGCATGCAATAGAATGGAGTGTTCTGAACACTCTGAGTCTGACGGTATTCGGAATTAAACCTTCTAGAATCTAAAGCCTTCAGAAGCTGTGTTGTGAGCACTTGACTGCCAAAACTTTGACATACGTTGCATGCCACTTTTCGTATCCAAATATCTCTGATATTTGGATACGAAACATGTATCAACCAAAACTTCGGACAGACACCGGAATATCGACTAAAAATGTGTTCTGAGTTGTTCCGATCCCCTAATTTCTCTTAGGTTGCTAAAGCCCCAAAAAGTGTCAAATCGTCAATTTAGTACAAGCGGTATAAATTTTGCGTTTTTTTTTTCGTACTTTAAAGATGTACTTAAATCTAAGCTAGCTTGTTATCTATACAATATTTTAAACTTGACGAAATTTCCCCGGCAACGGGGACATAGAAGAAAAACACCGAAAATCAACCTCAAAATGACCCTCTGGTGAAGCCAAACCCAGCTCGCAAATGGAGTTGAAACCTCGCCATTTTTAGCAGGGTTGTAGAAAAAGGATAGGAATAGGCTATAGCATTCTTAGAATTTTGATTTAGGCTTTAGATTTTTTATAATTAACGTCGGAAGTGAGGTTAAATAATCGTTAGAATAATGGCGTTATTTTAGCAAAGGTTTACTGCGCTGTTGCGTAGCAACGATAAAAATGCACGTGCGTATGCTACGTCATAACTTCAAAACTAGCTCACATTTACGCTCACGCTATGACTTATATTCATAACTTTGGTTGTGATTGGTATTTTTTGATGCGGTAAAAAGTATCGTTTTGGGAATCCGAATACTAACAACGCTGTCGCCATTGTTAAATAAATTCTATTATGTCTACTGTATAACAGAGTTGTATGATGAAGAGAAATTAAAACATAACTGATTTTTAAAATTTCCTCGAACAAAGCTTTCGACTAGCGGGTTTCTAGTAAATGATATTACAAAGATATTTTAATTTTTTTGCGATGTTTATTACAATAATGTAATTGATACGGTATAAATTTGACATACGTTGCATGCCACTTTTCGCGCGCGAAGCGCGCGCCGCCGAAGGCTGACATTTTATGCGCGCCGCGCATATTTTCAGTAGAGCGCCACGCTTATTTTGTATTTTAACCGATCTATACCGTACTGTGAAAATCGAGCGCTACATTTAATATACAATAGGTTGTGTTATCACTTGTTCTTAACTTCTTAAAATTTTCTATCTATGTTGTTTCACACAATTTTGGATTTGGTTTGAAACTTTCACAGTTAGTATATAAATTATACAACACAGCATTAATTTGATTAAAATATACGACATCACAAAGAATCACATAGGGTAAAAAGTTTTTTAAAAAAAACAGCTTCTGGATGAATGCTAAATGCATGGTTGTGTTGTCAGTAGTAATTGTCAAACGCTGCCCGACCCATCCATGATATGCAGTTAGGCCGGTGTATGGGATGTATTGAGAACATTCGAACATGTAGA